TCTTTCAGGGGCAAAAGTTCTGAAAGGAAGTTAATGTTCACAATCCAAGTACGACTTCAACTGCACAACACTTCATGGACCCAAACTTCATCTTAACACGTCACCATATTATTTCAAGTCTGTAATCTCCACTTTGTTCCTCCAATATTATTTCTACTATAAAGCTGGGGTTTTTTCTTCTTATGATTTTTAAGGGGTGCAGAGCAGGATCAAAGTATTCAGAGTGCCTTTATGGGTAGTTTTGCTGGTATTTAATTCAACTGGCTGCTAGAATATTGCCTTAGAAATATTCTACTGGTTCAGACTGCACTGCACCCCAAGAGCAAGGCCGCATGTAATTACAATGGACACAATTCTGTAAAGCTGATGCAAGAAAAAGCTAGAAGTAACAAATAGCAACAATGCCCAAGGAGCTTGTGAATGTTAGCTGCTCTGAATGACTAGTTTTAGATAATATTCAGTATTTTGCCTTGTAATGCAAATAGTAAATATACCAGAACTACTCACATTTTAATCATTATGACTCTGGAAAACAATACCACCAAAAAATACACCAAATACACCAAAAAAAGCCTCAAAAGTAAAATAAATGTACTGATAAACTTTGATATGTCTTAAGCTAGAAAAAAGTAAAAAAGTTTTTAGGGATATTAAGGTAGAAAAAAATCAAAAAAATCAAAAAAATAAGAGAGCAATCATGATACAACACACACGTGCAGACAGAAAAGCAGGAAAGAATTTCAAAGCACGTGTCACTACATCTAACTGTTAACCAGAAAGATAAATGACATCCACAGTCATACATCCATCAAATGTCAGAAAATACAGTTGAAAAATATGAACATGTTTCATGAGCTCTAAGATGAAATCCCTGCCATCAGTCAGCTACTAAATTTGGATCCACACTATAGTGAAGTTTGTTCTATAAATGCAACATTTCTGAATCTGATTCTCTCCAACTGTATGCTCAGAATGGACATTTACAACACCTTTCTGCTATGACAAGTCGTGGCAACTTGCAAAAGTGTCTCCGCTTCATCACAAGTGATTTAAATATGATGAAAAAAATTACACTAAAAAGTTGATTAGTGGTTTTACTGAAAGTAAAAGGCAGTCTTGCTCTGCTGCACTGCATGCTAGAAGGTACTTTTGAGGAAATCTATTTAAATGAATGTTGTGACAGCTAGTGTAACTTAATTCATTGCTCGTGAAGAGAGTACAAAGGCACAGAGAATGCACCCATTTATTAAGCAGATGCACACAAGGATTTGTCTATCCATTCAGAAGTTCTGTATTTTCTTTGACTTCAAAGATCTTGGTATTTATGACAGAAAATAGGCAACTACCTTAGCTTCAGGAACAAACAAAATACTCCTGCATTCGTTTCCTTGGCCTTCAAAACAAAAATTCACTGGTTCCATCTCCAGTTACTAAAAATCACACATCAGAAGATTTCAATTCTTGAAGCCCATAATAAATCCATTCAGCAGAATATGCTCAAATTCTCATCTCGCAAGGAACACTACACTGTGAGCAAGTCTTATTTTATGATTCTATGATTCTTAGAAGTTACAGGCAAACCTCCCAGTCAAGCAGAAGAACGAGACCTGCCAATTTTGAGAGTCTAAGACAACAGCTTTCAAATGCTCAACAATGCCAAGGACCTATGACCACAGCAGCAACTTCACTTGCAGATGTCAACTGCAGACGGGTCAGTATTTTCTTTCAAAACAGAATAAAGTGCATGAAAACTTCCGTGAATGTGTTTCAAATGCCACTTTCTCAAGTTTGATGCCTTTGCTTTGAAATTGCATTCAGAAGCAGTGTCTGAAAAATGTCTCAGACTAACAACATGAGACATCAAAAAGAAAACCAAACCCCATGACAAGCTGAACAGTGACCACCAGCTCTGTCTCTGATCTGGCATTATAAAGACTGATACCAGGACTCTGCTGAGAAGACTTTTTCTTGAACTAGCTAAAAATAGCAGCAACATATTTTCCCAGGTCTAAATAATTCCATCCCATTAAAAGTATCCCACAAGAAAGTACCTAAACCCAAACTTTTCTGTTTCAGACAATTCCACATGATGTATTTTGCTATTAGCAACCATGACACATCATGTTAACATGACTGGAAAATACTGGAGAAAAATGTAACTGTTCTTTAAACTTTTACGCTCTTCTGCCATGGATCAGACTTTGTGTGAAATTCTGCAATCAGTAAGGAGTGTTCTTATGAAGCTAAAACATAGGCAGACTTTCTGTTAGCTCTCAGGAAGTTTCAATTGACCCAGCATAATTGATTAGTTAATTTATTTGCTCTCTTCTTTCTCCAGTATATTGGCAAAGGTTTCAGACTTACGTGCACAAGTAATTTTATTCTCAATCGAGTAGTCCATTAAAGGCTGTTATATCATTAGCACAATGATACACATGTATCTTCCAAGCACTTACACCTATGGATAAATTTTACACTCACACATTCTGATGCAGCCACATGCCTAATATATTAACTGTAGTGGGAAAGTTTCCTCTCTGCACTCAGCTACCAAACCCCTTGTAGTATTATTATGCCACTATACCTGTCTCATATTAACACAACTTACGTTGGTTTGAATAGGACGAATTATACTAGTTTAAGTACATCAGCAGCACAGCTCAAACAGTGCTGCTGTACTGATAAAAGGTCACACTCCTGATGTTCATTTCTAAGGCACAGTTGAACAGATAAAGCACGCCGACACTGATGAAGGAATGGATATATTCCTCCCTGCCTTTCCTAGCAATCTTGCCACTCTTTTGTGACAGATGCAGTGCTCATCTGACTATACTACAAGCCAGTTCAACTCACTAACCCAGAAGAAAAGTAGTCACCTTTTCCTTCTTTGTTGGCTCAGTTTTCTATCAGTTTATCACACTGAATCAAATTGCTGCATGGGCAATAGCCATGCACTGCCAAAGTGGGGGAAAAGAAGCAACAGTAGAACATCATGATTGCTCACCTCATGCTCTGTAGCTTCACCTAACTGCAACAGATACAATAATATAAAACATATATAGTGCTATGTGCACCAATATTCAAACTTCAAACACATGCTTCACTTTAAAGACATTAATAGGACTATAGCCTCATCTGGGCACACTGAAGTAAATGAGACTGATCATATTAGTGACTTTATCCATGGGTATGTCTGAGACAACATAACTTTCCCAGCAGAAATCAGCAGTATGCTGGTAAAGGGGTGCAAGGAGATGCAGAAAGTTCATTGTACCCAAGTCAACAAAACCTTTAGGGTAGATGTCGCCATTCTAAGATTCAGATTCTTTTACATTCAAGTGATGCTTTTACTATGGTGGCACAAATTACTGATAAAGTTATTTCAAGACATGAAGGACATCATCCACACTGGGACTGTTACATCTGCAAAGCCTTTCCAGCGTTACTGCGGCAAACTTAAGCTATGCATCAAGGCTTGGTGAGCTTAGTAAAATAAATCCATGCAAACAAAACATTTTATAGCTTTAAAATTGCGGTCTTTCAGTTACCACCACACCTAGCCTATGCAATCTACCAGAATATCTACACCAGTCAGCAATATAATTTTCCACAATACCCTGGCCCCTTGTAGAAATGTGTCATTACTACATAAATTAAGTTGCTCTATTCAGTGGATGCAACACACCTTTGTTTCAGGTCACTCATAGAAACTGAAGCCTTCAACAGTTTACAAGTGTTTGCGTGGCCACACTCCCAGTTGCATTTAATTATCTAAAGCATTACCTAATGAGACTGTTGTAGCAATCAGAACTGTACGAAAGAGAATGCAGTTCACATGACTTCACCTGTCCATGCAGACAGCCTGACAGAACATTTTGAGCCCACACGCAAAACAACAAACGAGTGCCTGACTACAGCTCCACAACGCATTTGTTCCACCAAGTTCCACTTTTGGTCACTGCAGTCTCCTGAATGAGTTTTAAAGGCTGTAGACTCTGTAGCCCCGTGAAGCAGCTTAAAACAACAAAAATACAGAACTGACCAGTGAAGTAGTAAATTTTCAATTACAAGACACTAGATCGTTCACTTACATTGTGATGCTACTTGATATAAACCTCTACATACAGGTATGACACCGTGAGCCAAGAAATGCTTCGTTGCTGAGATACAGCTTATATCCAAAGAACAGGATTCCAGAAAACTACATCAACAGTAGGCACTGTATCATGGAAAACACTGCATCCACAGAAGAAAAGCTGCAGTCACACTAGTATAAAAACCTCTATGCCAACAACACCCAAAATGAATGGCACCAATGAAGTCGAAAGACACTTGGGGCAGATGTTACCCAGGGATGTAAAAAGCACTTTCAGCGGTCAGATACCAGGCGATGCCGATCCTCTTCCCCAGCCCGGCAAGCTCCAGAGCCAGGGCAGGAAGCCCACATACAGCACAGGCCCTAGCAGAGCGTGCATTTAAACTTTAAAAGCACCGTCACAAGCCTGACCCAGCTCAGCGGGCCGGTTTCCGAGGGCAGCGGCGCAGGCCGGGCTCGGGAGCCCCTCGGCAGGCAGAGAGCGAACCGGAGCCAGCACAGCTTCTCAGAAACATCCCGTTTCGACGGTTTCCCCATACAAGGCAAAAATACAACAGCGAAACTAGAGCTCCCCTACCCTTTCCCTTCCTCCGCTAACCCGATATAATAAGCAGCAGGAAACAAATTAAAACTAAGCTAAGCAAGAGAGAGACTTAACGGGTAGGATGAGCACTGCAGAGGCCGTGGGGACCCGGCGGCATCACCAACGAAGACCGACCCAAATGACAGCCGGCACCCCGTGCCCGCCGAGCCTCGCGAGCTGCCGAACCTGGCCCCAGCATCAGCCTCGCCCCGGCTCCATCTCGCTCGGTGTCCCGGCCCCTAGCGGGACGGCAGCCGCCAGCGGCAGAGGGCCGAGCGCGGCCTGGGGCGGAGGCACGGGCCGCTCCCGGCGCCTCCTTACCTGGTCGCGACGGCGGCTATCGACGCTCCCTGTCCCGGGAGCAGGTCCCTGCACATCCCGCAAAAGAAGAAGAGAGAAGGGCAGCGGAAGACTGGCGGTGCCCCGAGATCGGCTCCGCTGCCCGCAGGCGCGCAGCCCCGTCAGCGGTACCAGCCCGCCGCCATTATCGGCCAACGACTGACACGGAGCGGCAGCGGCGGAGAGAGCGGCGGCGCGGGGCACGGCGGGAGCGACCGACCAAGTCTCGCGAGAACTAGCCCGCCACAGACCTTCCCGACACGGCAGTCTCCCACCGCACGCGTCTCCCTCTCCGCCGCCGGTGACCATGTTGGGTGCGGTGCAGCCTCCCTACCCTGCCCCACCGCCTCAGCGGACCGCGGCCGAGCAGCGGGGCGGCCCTACAGCCCGCCTACCTTGCTGAAGCTGAGCTCCGGCGAGGAGCGCAGTGCCGCGAGTGCACCCAGAGCGGCGGGAAGGGCTGAGGGCGGTGCCGGCAGAGCGCACCTTTCATGGAGGCCGGGAAGCCCACACAGCGGCGCGCCTGGCCCCGGGCAAGGCGGTGCCGGCGGCTCCGGACCTCGGGGCGGCCGGGCGTCCCGCCGGCCTTCTGTCGCCCCCCAGGCCCGGGGAGGCCGAAGCTCTCACGCTTCTGCGGGCGCCAGGCCGTCCCTCAGCCTCAGAAAAACGTCGTTCACCAGTATTTTCCTCAAAGCTGTTTTGTTTGTCCCCCCCGCGGTTGTGCAGGCTTGACTTGCCCGTTCAGTCCACATGCAAATCTTGTAAAAATAAAAGGTGGCAAAGCTCTCGGTTTTGATGAAAGAACAGGACTTCGCAATGTTTATTAAATCACCACTGCAGCACGGTGCCAACGCTGATGCTGGCATTCCTGAAGCAGCTCCAGCAGAAACTAGGGCACCGCTTTTCAGTCATTTGTATTCATAGCTAAGTCATCTTTATAAAAGAAATTTTTTTATTTTTGGTTGCAAAATGAAAGCAGCTCTGATTACAGTCTCGCAGTTGCCAAGTTTAAATAAACATTTGCAAAACTTCACAGAGATGACTGAGTGCCACTGGCTTAATTTCACTTTTAACAAGTCATTATAAACCCGGAAGTGTTTGGTAGTATACTATCTTCTATTGCATAGCTACCACCCCAAAGATGCATTAAAACCACCCACGTTTCTAAAATAGGTCCAAGATGTTATCCAGCTATAACAAAATTGTTTCCACTGAAGAAAGAAAGTTATTAGAATAGTAAAACAGAAATTCTTCCTGCAGCTATTTTGGGAATGTCTCCTTTGGGACTTGTCTACAACTTCACTAGAGTCTGATTTTCAGTCATTAAGATGATTGTCTGACTACAGATGACAAAATTTCTTGGGGGAGCATGGGGGTGGAGAGTTCTCTACTCCAACCATTGAAGGACCACTAAAACTGCTGGAGCTCCCCCCCCCCCCCTTTTTTTTTCTTAACCAAAGAGAATCAAGCTGTTTTTACATAGCCTATCATCTTGTGAATGGTCAACATTTTGCATGTCAGTTATTCAAATATGGGAATACCATACAAAACCACCCTGAACACTGGGAGACCATTATAGCTATGAAGCTTAGGCAATGTAGAACTTAAATCACATCACAATTACAAGATACACATTTAACCTTAATTTGGCTCTTTTACATACACTAATTACAGAGTATATTTTCCAGCATAAGCAAACCCCCTTCAAAACAAGAGGTGAGCTTGAGATGTCAGTAGTTAAACCTTTGAAAACTATTTTGTTTTGCCAGGTGAGGGAAAAAAAAAACAGCAAACGTGAACACTGAAAGGTAAGCACAGCTCCCATGGGAAAAAGTGGTAAGTAGTGCCTACTTCCCACCCAAATCCTCAAAGAACAAACCTGCTCCCTCCAAATGCAGAAGACAGTAATAAATAATAACAATGACAATTTCAGTCAATGAAAATATTACCAGTGATTGGAAGCCCTGATCACAGACTAGGGCAAATTAAATTACTACATTCCCCTGGTGTTTACTTAAATTTACTGCTTAATATTGCTGGATTGGCAGCTTCTTTACTCAGCACTTTTGTAATACACTACCTCTTTAATTATGCTTTTAAACATAGCTTCTCTTCTCTGCTAGGAAGCACTAATCTAGTTTCATGCTCCTCCTTTTCATCTTCAGGCAAATAAGGCATCACATTAGGATTTTCCCAAACATGAAAATTGGTTTTGGTCAGACAAATAAAATTAAAAGGCATTGTTTGTTGCCTTCCTGTTTTGCTTCTATTTATTATTTGTATCTGTCAGTGGAACTTAATTGTAAAACTTTACTTTTTCAAAGATTCCCCACCAATGAACAGAAAGCTCTGACAGGCAAACATCACACAGAAAGAGAAGAGAAACACGTTCTTAAGGAAAATGTAATAATCTTGTGAAATTCTCCAAGACTAGAAGAAACCGTTTACCTGCAAACAGCCAGAGCTGAGAGAAGAGGAAGAACGGAACACACTCGAGTTTGATGAACTGCTCACTAAACTGCTCAGCAGAGATAAACACTGTCCAAGCACTGAAAGCAGTGGATGGAGACATGCAGTAGGTTAAAAGCAGAGACTCAATCTCATTTTATGCTAACTTGGATATTGCAGCTTTAAGAGAGAGGCTTGGAAGGTTTTCCACTCCATGCTATTCTTGCACATCCTTTCTAAAATTAGAAGGGCAGCTGGCTATTTCAGCTGAAAAGATCAGCTGGAGCCCCCCAGACTCCCACCTCTCTTTCCCTGACTGACGTGGCTCCCAAGAGCCACGTTGGAATCTGGGGAAGGGTGCTTCCACCTGTTGGATATGGAATGAGTTTGTCCAGGAATTCAATTATAAATCCACCTGTCAGGAGTTGACAGTAAAGCAGGACACAGGACAGCTGTGAGGACTGTTGAACAACTCTCCCAACCTACTTCTCCATACTCCTTCAGTTTTGCAGTTTGCCCTACAGCAGAAACAATGCATGAAAAATTGTTCTCTGTGTGAACTGCACTTACAAAATAAAGGGATCACTTCAGATTTATTATCATAGTCTTCCAGCTGTACTACAGGGTCCTTACATAGAATCTGTCATTGCACACCTCCAAAACCAGATTCTTTCTCCCAAATACAGCATACTGGTGACGACTTCACTGCAGATGGTGCATACGCATACTTCATTCTGTACAGCAAATACATTTATACTTACCTTAGCATGGAGCTCATCTTGCCTTTTGCACTCATTCAGTTTGAGCTGAATCAATTATTGTTTCAAAACAAATGCATTTTTCAGGAAAAAAATATGAAAACCATGATTTTTAATTTGTGAAAAATTAAAAAATGCTTTTGTTGGTGTGGAAAAAAATGGGGGGTGTGGGGTGGGAATTAGTCCTTTTAATAAAACCTGCTTAGCAAGCTCAAAACTCCACTGCTCAGCACATGACTCAGAGCAGGGTGTGCAAGGGAAGGTAAGAACAGATGGGGCAGTGCACTGTTGTAGGTCCCTTTAGCAACATCCACTGTTGAAGGCAGTGCAGGTATTGCCATCCTCCAGGTGTTCCCAAGGCAAGAGCAGGAGCAGAAGAGGGGCCACACTCCACTTTCTGGCTGGCTGGCTATCTGCAAGGGGACTCTCTCCATCCATAGGCGTCCATTTGCTTGCAAGCCAACAACTGGTTTTCATATTCCAGTTCACTTTGCACAGCAGTGGAAATTTTGTCTGCAAATTGGTGTGCAGCTGGTTCAGCTCCCTGAAGATCGTGTTCTGCCCAGAGAGCAAAGTTTGTTAGCTGTAAGCCCACAGAACAAGAAACATGCGCTTCATTCCCCAGGCCAGACCTGGTATCTGCTGTACATAAGTACATCTTTCCCATCACAGACAATTTGATTTGCTTATCTGCTGACAGCTAGGGACAGTTCAATTTCAGAATTGAGATTTCTCTAGCAGAAGCCAAAGTCTGTAACTTTACAGTTTGGAAAACATCAAATGGCTATGTTTGCTGCAGGCAATGAAACAATTGCACAAGGAGGGTAGCCATCAGCTGCCTATGAGCAACAGACAGACATTACTTCTCACCTCTGGCTGACAGGGAGTTAATGAGATCTGCATTAAGTACCTGTAGGTAGTTAATGTGAGCCTTTTAAGGACAAAGACACTAACAGCTGCAAAACCAACCTACCACTACAAGAGCAGTAACAATCTAATCCTGAGCCTTTCCCCTCCTTCAGAAGGGGCCACTGGATATACCATCTTGCTTTTATTCTTCCAAATTTAGCAGCACACCATATGTTTGGATATATACCTCAGAAAAAGTGATTCTTCTTTGTCTGGCACAAAATTAAGTAGAACATTAAATCTTCCTGTTTTGTCTTGAAACTGAGGAGCATAGTTCTTTAATACCTCATAATTAGGGGGTAGGAGCAGTTTTAGAAACAGAAAAATAACCCGGATTACATGTTTTATTTGTATGTGTCGTGGTTTAAACCCAGTCAGGTAATTCGTTCTCTCACTTCCCCCCCCCCCTTTCTTGCCCTCCCCCTGGTCCCGGAGGGACGGAGAGGAGAATCAAAAAGAATGAAACTCCCACGGGTTGAGATAAGAACAGTTTAGTAACTAAGGTATAACACAGATCACTACTGCTACCACCAATGACAATAATGATAAAGGAAATAACAAGGGAAGAGAATACAACACCTCAGCACCAGCCGACCGATAACTCGCCCCCCTCAGCCCAACCAAGCACCGACCGATACCTCCTCCAACCCTGCAGTCTCCCAGCCCTTCCGGCTCACTCCCAGTTACATCCTGGGCATGACGTGCTGTGGTATGGAATACCTCTTTGGTCAGTTTGGGTCAGGTGTCCTGTCTCTGCTTCCTCCTGGCTTCCCCTCCTCCCTGGCAGAGCATGAGGCTCACAAAGTCCTTGGCCAAACCAAAACATCGCTATCAGCTCTGTTCCCAAGCTGAAAGTCAAAACACTGCACTGCACTAGCTACCAAGAAGGAGAAACATGACTGCTACTGCTGAACCCAGGACAGTATGAGAACATGGAATCTCCTGCTTTCGTGTCACAACTTAGCCTTTTTTTGTGGTTGCTAATTCTGCTCATTATATACGTTTTTTCTAAGCCAGTTTTTAAGCAAGGCTGTCTCTCGTCAGTTCACAGGGCACCAGCTTGCAACAGCAGAGGTATAGAACATGCAGCTAGGAGTGGAACAAGAATGATGTCATCCCTTTTTGTCAGCAGCTGACTCTTGTATCAGACTAATGAAACAAGTGAACCATATCATTAATTCCAGCTGAAATCAGAACTGAGGAATTAGTACAAGAACACCAAGTAAAAGACAATTCAGAGCTATTACAATTTCCTTAAATGATCCAAGGTAAAAGAGACAATCTTAAACATGCAAAAGATGTAAAAAACCACATGTAAAACACAGTCTGAGCACTTACAAATGAACGGACAAATCTGGAAACAGCTTATGAAACAAACAAGTATATTTATTTTCAATGATTGCTAAACTAGTTTACATAATATACAAATACACTATCAGGACACACTTGAAAATAAGTCACAGTTGTTTTATTTAAAAACAAAACCCAACAAAACATTTGTCCAGTGAAATGTCCAAAATGTAAATGCCATCTTTTCCTTCCTGAGCTATTCCTAAACATCCAGAACAGCAGCACTTCCCCATCTTTTTACCATTTCTATTTCTTCCCATTAAAATAAGAAGTATTACCCATTGCTGGCTCTCAGTGGCTACAATATACCCACCTCTGGTTTAAAAGACTACCTCTGTCTCTCTCAAACTGTGTTCTGTTTACAGTGATTTTGGTTCATTCCCCTTCACACCCCAAACCTTTCCTTGCACAAAGAACCCAGAAGCTCCAGCACCTCAAGAGGTTTTCTGTTTAAGAAGGACTTTTTGCAACAGGACAACTCAAGGGGCTTGTGAATAAAGGATGGGTCCAGGAGCCACTAATCTCCCAGCTGTTATAGGAAAATATCCTATTAATTTGAGAGCAGTCTTCACACATTTCCTTCATATGCAGTAAAACCAAATGCCCACAGACCAATAGTTTAAGAGCATACAGTAACAGCAATGAAATGGAAGTGCTGGAATTCTCTCCCCCCCCCGGCCTCCCAAATACTTATAATAGAAACAAGTACGCATTTTTAGTCTGGCGAGAGAAATTCTTGGCACGTGGCACGCTAATAATAATGTATTTTAAAAACATGCATTGCAAATCTGTTCTTTACTAGAAGCTTAAAAAGCAAGCAGCAGGTTATACACAAACACATGAAGAAAGGTTATTTTTTTAGGGTACCAGGTATCACAAATAAATAAATTCTCTTGATGCAAAAATATTTTATTAAAATGAGAAATCATCTATGTCTTCCTAAACTTTTGTTTGAAAGGAGATATTAAACACACATGGATGACATTTTATCATTTCCCCCCAAATTTTAAGACTTGCAGAACTTTGACAAAGAACAGAGAATTCCTGGAAGCAGCGAGGGAGAGAGGCGCTGAGGGATTATTTGACATCAGTACTACTAAGGTTAAGCAATCCTTGTACTTCAGCTTTTCTCACTCTCCAGAACTGTTTGGGGGAGGCTTATTTAAGGAAGAAATGCTTGCTGAAAGGCTCTCTATAAGTCACAAATGTTTCAAGAAATTTTATCATTCAGGAAGTTGCCAGAGATATCTGACATTACGTTGCGATAAGATGGATAAAGAAAAAGCTGGTGCTTAGACTCACAACACTAACATAATTTTCAGTTTCTGTTTTTCTTGTGTTAGAAGAAAAGTAAGCAATTCTGGCAGTTGAAGGTGATGTTTTTGCATCCTCTTACCTTGTCAAATGCAATACCAGCTTTATGCACTGCCAGAAAAGAAACCTCATAGCAAAGCCAGTAGTGCCCCAAGAGAGCTTCAGGAGATGGGTGGTTCTGCACTACTTATTTCCTGTTCAAGGACACCAAGCCTGAGTAAGTCACTGAACACAACTAACCAAAAAAATCGCAAGTTCTTTGCTCGCATTCTGCAGCTGATTTACAGAAGTCCCAGTTACTTTAGAAGAAATAGCCTGCCAGTTCGTAGAATTTCTTTGCACAGAAAAGACTGTATGCAGCCCAAGCTCAACAGCCACAGTATGTTCTTCCCTGTTCAGCCATTGCAACATACGTTTTGTGTGTTCATCCTTTACACAACTTCTATGTGCACCCCTCCACAGGAAGGCCTTTTTCAGGCCAAATAGGCAACACAAGATGAGATATACGGCTCCACAGTCCACTCAGCTTATCTGTGTCCATGCTATTGTAAGAACTAGGAATATCCGAACTGGTAAACTTTGCCCAGAGGAAATCCCGGACTTTCTCCTCAACTTCTTGCAAGGTGAGGCCCTTTCCAAGTGACTGTTCATCCAGGAGAACTGTCAGCAGAAGAGCCACATCCTTAAATGCTGCATTTTCATGGTCACAGTACTTGTAAAAGATTAAGGTGGAACCTGCAGGCAGTAACTCAAAACGATGCACCACTGCAACTTTCTTGCCTTCACTGAACCCCGAGCTGAGCTCTTCATCTACCTCCAGTTTGACAATGTCACTATCCAATACAGCTTTGTCTGCCCCATTAATTCTGATTGTAGTAGCATTCTGGGAGAAGGCAAAAGCATTGGCAATCTCATTACTTAGGCATCTCAGTGCTTTCTCAGCTTCTTGGCCAGCTGTGAACAGTAAGATAGCTGGCTCCAAATGCAGATGGGAAGCATTAAGATGTTTCTCAAGGAACACATGGGTCCTTTTCCACAGTCTGGGGTCCTGACTTTGGTAAGTATTTTTTAGTTTATTCATCTGGGCTCGAAATGCTTGCAGAATTTCAATATCTCTACGTGACAAAGTTGTATCTAGAAGACTTGGCATTCCACTCCACAGGACATAAAGCAATGTGACACAAATTAACAGAACCAGTAACAAAGTCCAGCTCTTGTGAAATCCACTCTGAGATTCACCATCACCTACAGAAAGGAGGAGCAAACAGGAAGAAAATGTTTTCAAAGTAAAACAAAGTCAACAAGTGAGATGAAAGTAAGAGGGAACAGTAGAATTCGGTGAACTCATTCCACTCTCAAGCCACTGGTACAGCAGTTGAAGAGCATAAAGATGTTCTACTTAAAAAAAAAAAACAAAACCAAAACAAACTTCTTTAGCAACTTAGTGAAGTGACAGCATTAAAAAGGGACATTTTTATTAGCACATTTCCAGATTGACTGAGAAATCAGACATTCTTCTGAAAAAGGAGCTCTTCTGAAAGTTTATCAATACTTCATTCTATGTAATCAAATCCAAACTAAGAGCTTAAAACAGTTCTGAAAAAGGCTAATATTTTTCCTACATTTAGGCTCTGCAGAAAAGACCCTATACAAAACCTCACAACACCAGAATTGTTTCTGTGTTATTTCTCCTCTCCTTCACTTGGTGATGAAGTATACCAACCTCTTTGGAAACAAAAAAGGAGTGTATACTTTATGCTACCTTTTTATATCCTAACTTCTATCAGGACAGCAACACAACTGTTAAATAAGAACACCACTAGGCCTACCTCAGTTTTAATCTTGCAACAATCTTGTAAACACTACAGATGGAAGACCTTAAATTCAGATGGAAGTGTTACCTATTATAGAACACCTTTCCTTCATGCTGAAAACACATGCCCTAGCAAGCAAGTCATCTGCTGCGGCAAAGACCCTCAGTTTAACATCAGCTACCAGGAATTAAAGCACTTGGACAGGCATGAAAATGGTTAAATGTAACATAACCATGAAAGAGAAGTGAAACAAAAGTCTTACTTTTGGTTGAAGACAGTGAATGCTTCCCTATACTGGGCTGATCTCGAAATCTGCTTCTGCCTGTTAGAAGATTCAGAAAGGAACATGAAAAAAATACTAAGACAACAATCATAACCAAAATCCCAGTGCGAAATTCAGCATGGAGTTGAAATCATTAAACTGCATTATTTTCAACAAAAAAGCTGCTCTTATTTACGCTTTACATACAAAATTCCACAAGGCTTACCGGAAGGTTAACAAAGCACCCTTACATAGCGCTTTGTTGAAGCGAACACAGACCTGGTAAGTAGGAGCAAAGGGCAAGGCTGTGACCTCATCCCAGGTAGGCCTGTATCAAGTATGGGGCTTTTTGTTCTTTTCTGCATCATTCACCTTCCTGTACTTAAGCAAGGCTAGTCTTGTACGAGGAAAATGACATGTTCACCACCATTATTAGCCTGAGAAGACCCATTCAGCTGGCAGACCAACTCTCCATCTATGCAATTTGCCAAATGTCAGTTCTTAAGTCATCTTGACAAACTTACATAAAAAGCAGAAGTACCCAACCTATCACAAGTCACCCCCAAAGATTTTTAACTCTTGAAAAGTTATGCAAATAAAGACATGGGCATTGCAAGTACAAGAGACAAAATGGCAGAGGTTTAGTAACCTGCCACTTTCTGCATAAGGATCTCATGCCCCAGGTTTCCTGATTTCGCTCAAGAATTAGAGGAACAGAAAAATGGAAGCTCAATTAATACATATTTAGAAAAACAACAGAATGCAAGATATAAGTAGCAAAAGCAAAGCAGTGTGTTATACGCATAGTCTCATATACCCTCCCCTCCAGCTCTGGTCAGAGGCCTGCTTTATCAGCAGTCAGTGTCTTAGGATGAATTATGGTTTTAAAGCAAAATGCAAGCTTTCAACTTCAAAATATACCCTTGGCTATTCATTTAAATGGGCCCAGACAGCAAAGTACATGAGATATTATCCATGAAAGAGTGTTATGAAAAACTTTCCCAAAAGGCCAGCATGAATATATGCAGTTACTGGTCAGCATGTTGCCTTCATTTACTCAGTTAATTAAAAAGTCACAAGAATTTCTGTCTTCTTATGAACTACAGCAACTGGTTCAAAGCTGAAGGCTCTTTAATAATACATAACCAAATAAGGATACTGTCATTACTATTGAGAATAAACTGAACACACACCCCCACACCCTGCAGTAGTTGCTTCAAGAATACTAAAAGAAATTCTATAACCTTGTTTCTGTATAAATGTAATTGCAGAAAGTGGTAAAAGCAGCTCTGGTTTAAGCTTGATCTTAACTGACTCAATGAGCTACGCTACTCTGTAATTTAAACCCCATACCCTGACAGGGCACAGACATGGAGCTTATAACTGGCTAAACATAGAAGTCTTCTAATAGTTAACAGATCAAAATCACCTCAATTCTGTAACATTTCACAATGCAATGTTTGCAGGGACTATGTTTCATATTTAGGAGACAGCTGTGATTCAAAAGAAAAAAAAAAGAAAAAAAATTTCAATAAAGAGTCTAAAACCAGATCCTAGCCTACAAAAGGATCTTGCCTTGTTTACAACCTAATTTGCATGAGGGCCAAGCAAATTATTTGTCTTGCCTAACATCTGCAGATATGTTAGAGCTTTCAGAGTTTCAAGTGATTTCCCAAAGTTCTCCACCCAACACACAACTGGTCACTCCCGCAGCAGCTATTACCTCTGGCACAGGAAAAGAGAAAGTACCAGACGAGCAAGAACTCCCTGCAACAATCCATAGTTCAAAGACACTTCACACATATGCAGCTACGACAGGATGAGCTTCTCTTCTGGAAGGCACTGTGGTTTTCAAAAAACAAAGCCCTAACAGCCCCCCAAGGTTCTACACATTGAATTCTAATTTACAAGACTTTGTTTATGTGTATTTGCTCAGGACAGAAACAAGCATTGAGACAAAAAAGAAAAAAAAACCAACAAAGAAAAGTGGGTCATTTTCTGTGGTCAGCAAGTTGAATAATTTCATAGAAGGGCTCTGGCTCTGCAATGTGCTGCCTTCTCCAGCTTCCATTTGGATCTGCCTCATGGGTCCCTCTCTACCTTCCCAGACAGTGTCCCCCAGGGCATGGGAAAAACCATAAGCAGAGGAAAGGAAAAGAATGCTGTAGTTTTCACTTAATTACAGGGAAAGACTTTTCAACTTACTCGCCGATATTGTTGAGCAGTGCTCCTGTTTCTTCTCAAGGAATTCAGCCTTTCTTTCTGAAAACAAAGTACAAATGAAAGAACTTGGTTGTCACATCACAGGTCAGAGTAAGACAGACAAGCCATACATGCTTTTAGCTCTATGAAATCTTCCAAGGTTATTAGGGAAGAAGTATACACTATGCTGCCAAACCAAGCCTGCACGATGACAACTCTTGAAACCCTCTGTAGATGGAGAAAACAACTACTGTCTAAGAGAAAAGGCTTAATTTGGCCCTTCATCCTGCTATTCCCTACATGACACAAAACTGTCCTTGTTTTTTCTTCAAAAAAAGTAATGACACTATAATAATAAAATGCAAAGGTTGGGAAATTAGCAGCTTTAATGATTGCTAATGGAGGGCATTGGATTTGTCACTTCTGAAACCAAAACTATTCAGCAGGAGGGAAAACCAAAAATAAACAGTGTAAAGCTACCACCTTGACAACACTCTTTCAGACCTGGGGTAATTCCAACACACACAGGCATGTTCTTAGCTGCCTGAGTAAAATGCCTGTGTGTGCCACTGGGAAACAGCAGGCTGACACAGATGTCTTCTTGTGCTCATCTCAGCTACCTGGGCTCATGTCTGCATTTTGTCAGTCTGCACTCACAATTGCTTTCAGTGCTCTCCCATAAACACTGTGTGATTAGGACTGTTACTGACCAAATGAATGCAAGCCATTACCTCACTCTACGACCAGTTACCAGCTCTCCTATATAACCTTTACACAGCATATGTATACAGGTGGTATTCAAACCACCTGTAGTAACACAACCACTTTCTGCTGGGCTAAAAAGTATCCCTTATTTTCTTCTTCACTATATTTCCCTACTGATTCTGTGAAACAAACAGAAAAGTCTCTTGAGCAGTGAACAGAAAAAGTACTCTCTCACTTCAAAATCACTTGGTATACCCTGTTTCTCCCTGCTAAAGTCAGAAGTAACTGATCTTTTTTAAAAAAAGAACAGATTTACTTTGCTTTACCCAAGGCAATTAAAGATCCACTCTAGTAACAGCTGTTGAAGGAGGTATGATATTACCCATCTTTTTATTTTGGTTTTGAGAAAACAGACAGCTATATATTTATCTAAGTTTAAAACTGTGCTTCCTTGAACTTTAAGATTTTACACCCAAGCAGATGACTGTCATAATACAATCAGTTTTAATTTGACTCATAGGCAGGAGTACACCCTGACTTTGATTTTGACTTTTTTTGGCTGGGTTTTTTTGTTTTTGTTTTTAAACACCTTCATCCATTCAGAGTTAAACTCAACAACTCACCCTTTCAGTAAGAGAACTGAAGGTATGTCATTTTAGCGCATTTAAGCAATCGCTTGTTACATCATGGAAAAGACACTGATAAAACTATCAGTTCTGATAAAATTGTTACCTTTTAATGGTGCATAAAGGTTTGGTTGATGCTCTGCTGGTATCTCGGGTTCATTACTGTTATAAGCCTTTGCTTTTTCCTTTGTTGGATTCTCTGCAGGAAAGTAAACTGAAGGACTGCCTATCAAGAGGCAAAAAAAAGAAAATATAAAAAGAAAATTGGTATAGGTGCACTATCATTTGTGCTCGTAACATCACAAAACTCCAAGACCAAGACAGTTACATGATCTAAATCAACTGATTTTCAAGTTGTGATCTCCCAAGAGTTACTTACTTGAAAAGCTTATTCACTATATTGAATTGAATGAACACAATTAATTGAATATTAATTGAATTCACTACATCACCACAGGGTTGGTTTTTTTTTATCCTCTTTTTATTTTTTGAATTTTTATTTTTTTAGGAGCTCTTGGCTTAAAAATAGTTGAAAGCAAGCCAGACATGAAAACACCAAATGCTGAGAACCAGCAAATACCTTACTCTAAAGGGCATCGTGCAAACTGCTAAATATACAAGCATGGGTGTAAAGAGAATTATGCCCATAGCTTTGGGCAAACAACTTACAAACAATTAATCGTGCTGTCTTCCACAGCACTGGGCAGAGGGGAAAGAGAGAGAAGCAAATAGAGAACATAAGTCCCCTTTTTATGTAGTCCAAGCCATCCTTTAGTTAGGTCTCCTCTCTCTCTTTCTCACTAACCATAATGGCAATCTAGGGAACCTATAATTTAATTCCCTCATGTAGCTGGGAAGAATCTAAGCCAACACCTCTAGATTGTTTGCCAAATTACACAGCCATTCAGATGCTGAAACTAATTTAGTTAATGTTAACTAAGTTAATGTAGTTAATTTACTACAACTAATAAAGGCATGGAAGATGGCAGGAGTCACAGAACAAAGGTCAGGGCTGGAAAGCCAGTCAAAAGCCAAACACCAGGAGAAGATGCTTGAAAGGATAAAGTGCAACCACATAGTTGCCCAGATTCCAGGTGGGGGAAAACAGTTCAGGATATGGAATGAAAGCTGTAATACAGCTGTGGAACAGAGACCATGACACAGTGATCACACTGAAGGACATAAGCAGAGGAAACAGCAAAGGGAATAAAACAATTAGTAAAACTTTTTCTCTGTGACATTCACACTGGGCCTTTTTTTTTTCTTTTAACAGTACTGGGTTCTCCCAGGGTTTAATGTATTTCTGTAGCTCTTGCACTATATGTGTGAGGGTAACACATAGCTTGCCACCTAGTGTTTATTAATTTTACTTCAAGAAATGAAACCATAGCCTTTTTCTAATATGTTCTGGCAGCTTTAGCATGTCAGTGTATACAATGCATAAAAAGGAGGAAAAAACCCAAACCAAACCACAAATATGAACAAGTGAGAAAATTTTAAGTTTTAAGCAAAAATATTAAGTCACAGGTACAAACAGTATTTGCACATAGTGAGTGGGATACTGTATTTTCACAACCATCTTAAAAAGTTGTTAAGTGACTGATTTCCCACCAAGCTAAGAATGAAGATACTCAAATTACCTGATCTTCAGGAATGCCAAACAACATACCCATATTTCACTTTGTAGACGTTTTGCAAGGAAAATCTCACTAGTAGCAGTAGCTAGTAATCACAAGACCAGGAAGATCTATGAATCTAAAAAAGGCTACTCATGCAGTCCATACATTCTAATTCCTCTCCCCTTCTTTGCATCAATCAGTACTCTGTCTCTTGAAGTGTTCTTAAAAGTTGCTGTAAAAGCAGAAGATTTAAATACATACAACTTCATTTCTCACATGAAGACAGCTTGTGAATCAGCACCTTCTGTAACAACGGCTATCACCAACAGGAAGATTATTAGTGCAAGCAGACAGCACATATGGCATCTCCTACTACAGAGAAAAGTAAACCCTTTATGAAGCGTAACTTTCCTAGAAATAGATACAAATTCCAGTCCAGACATTCCTGTTCTTTCCTTACATGGCATTAAGCCTCCCATCCAAAGGATCATTCCTGCCTCCCAGCTGTTGAGGATTTCCCAATCCACCTTAAATCTGCTAGCCAGGCACTTACTGCACAGTCACCTGCCAAGAAAGAGTGATCTTCTTACTATACCCGTTTTTAATCAAAGGGATTAGCAATCTGTGAGTTCATAAACTACATGTTTATAAACCAAAATATAAAGCCACTATTTCAACATAATGGAACTTGTTGTTTTAAGTCTAGTATGTATCTACCCCTATGGGTTCAATCTTTTTCAACAGAGATAAGCCCACAACACACTTGCTGGAATGTATCCACAGCAACAACAGACACTATAAACTTGAGTGCCAATACCACCCAGTGCCTACCTTTAACTCATACAGTTGTAGGCCATACTGTCCTGGGTTTAGCAGGAGCAGTCATTTTTCTCCTTCTTGGTAGCTGGTGCAATGCTGTGTTTTGACTTTCAGCCTGGGAACAGAGCTGATAACAATGTTTTGGTTTGGCCAAGGACTTTGTGAGCCTCATGCTCTGCCAGGGAGGAGGGGAAGCCAGGAGGAAGCAGAGACAGGACACCTGACACAAGCTAGCCAAAGAGGTATTCCATACCACAGCATGTCATGTCCAGGATGGAACTGGGAGTTAGCCAGAAGGACTGGGGGACTGCAGGGCTGGAGGAGGTATCAGTCGGTGCTTGGTCTGGTGGAGTGGGGCAAGTTATCGGTCGGCTGGTGCTGAGGTGTTGTATTCTCTTCCCTTGTTATTTCCTTTATCATTATTATTATTGGTGGTAGCAGTAGCGATTTGTGTTATACCTTAGTTACTAAACTGTTCTTATCTCAACCCGTGGGAGTTGCATTCTTTTCAGTTCTCCTCTCTGTCCCCCCAGGAGCAGGGGGAAGGAAAGAAAGAGGGAGGAAAGGGGGGGAGTGAGTGAACAAGCTGTCTGTCTGGGTTTAAACCACGACAGTTCTTTTTGTATCAGTGTTCACACTCATGAATAATCTATATTTAGCATATATGCTAAACCCAGGACAATACAGAACAACAATTGCTGCTTTGGAGACTGAGGAAATTGAGCAGCTGTCCACCTTGCCTGGTCTCTCAGAGGATCCTTCTGTTGTGGGGTTGCTGAAAGTTGAAGAACAACAAGTGCTAAACCCAGGACACCGACTTGCATATTTTAAGACAACTTAATTGGAGACTGCAAGAATACCTATCTTTAGCTTGCTGATCTAGAAGATGCCTGGTTCAGGGTAGGGTTTTCAGGCTCTTCTAACTCTTTAGCTCTAGAAGCAAACTTCCTAATCTATATTTAAAACCTCTAAGCAGATGCCAGAAACCAGTTTCTCTAGTTGTGGTTTTGCTTCCATTCTGTTCGGGGAAGCATGGCAATTATGTCTTTATAGAAATCTACTCCTGCTGCCTCACAGACCCTGCATTCCCCTAAACTCTGCAGAAAAAAAAACAGTACTGTACAGCTATAGGACTATGAGGGGGAAAATTACATCTTTGTTCCTATATAAAGCATTAGGGTCACACTTTTATGCCTGCTGTGACTATAATGAAATACCACTGTTAAGAGTTTGGGGAGGTGGGGGGAGGACATTTCTCCCCCAGTTTCATTTTTAGAGATGCTTACTTAAAAAAAAACGCACACCTCTGTAACTCCCAAAGCAGCCCAGCCACATTTAAAATACCACACGTTAGTACTGTTAGATATCATTTGGGAGTAACAGCTTCCCACAGCTTTTTTCCAGATAAACCTTTGTACTTTCCCAGACATACTCATAACCCCCCTATTCCTCCCTCAAGATGCTTCCACACCTCCTTTGAATTCTGCTTCTGAAGCATAATATTGGCAACCTTTCTTAAGGGCAGTACCACATAACTAAGGTCATGCCCTACAGCTGCAACAAGAGCCTAATGAGAGTCCTTATCCATCTGAAAATTGCCACATACTAATAATGTACACAGTCCAACCCAAAACAGACCAACACACTAAAAGGGAAGGAAATACACTTTACTTGCAGTTTTCTGATAGATGACAGGCTAAAGACATGTGACTGTATTACATAAAGTTAACACGTCTCTGAGTTAGGATACAGTTTTCATCAGCTAAAGAAACAAGGTACCAAACAGAGCTAACCCAACAGCTTGTCTAGTCCAGTGTCCAAGAGCAAGTACTGATATGTGCTTGGTACTTCAGAGAAAGGCCAGGAAAGCCCAAATTACTCACTTCCTCATAAGCAACACTGCTCAGTACATCCCAATCAAACTCTCGCAATGATCTGTTTTTGCAGCTCAAGATACTTAATTTTAATTCAGCCCTTACAAACGAAGCAGTGTTAGTAAAATAAGTTAGTCTCTATTTTCATGCTGTGGCAAAGTACTACTCCAGGTGATGCACTAGATAAAACAGCCACCTAAGGGCTTCAGCATGCTCTACATGCATGAATCCTTGTGGAAGACCGATAAGCACTCCTCATCTCTTATGTCTGTAATACAAACCACAGCGGGATTTATTCACTTGTATGCCAGAATCACGGTAAAGTCCACAACAGAGCTAAAACACAATAAAATCAATTTCCTCCAGTCTTGGGAATTTCAGCACTTTGCAAGCAGCATACACAGTAACCTCTCCAGGTTAAGGCCTACCTGGCGATCTACATGCTTTAATAGGCGGCCGAGTCAAGGAGTCCGGAATCCCAAAGTGATGCTCGTCTCCTGAAACGAGAAGTGGGTGAGGGGAGCAGCAAGCCCGGGCAGCTCAGCTCAAGCCCACCGGACTCCAGCCTGACAGCCTTCCAGCAGCACCAAACACCCATTTCAGACTCACTGAGACGCCCCAGTGCTTCCAGCGGGGCTATTCGGGAGGACACCCCCGACACAATATACCCCCGGGCGCCGCTGCGCCCTCCAGCAAGGCGGCCTCAGCGAAGCAAGAGGGCGAGCCCGCCCGCCCGCCCCACTTCTTGCCGCCCCAACCGCAGGATCCACCGCAGCACGCTGCGCTCACCCTCCAGCGCCCCTCCGGAGCCGGGCTCGGCCACGGCTTCCGCCTCGGCCTCCTCCGCCCGCGCCGCCGCCAAACGGGGGCTCTTCCGCCTGTGCTTCAGCTCGGTGGCGTCCGGCGGAGCCTGCCCATCGCTGTCCCCCACCATCCTGCCCGCCGCAGCCCCACGGCGCCGCCGTCCCCGCCGCCCCGCGCCCCGACCGCCGGCTGCTGCTTCCCCGCGCCTCGCGGGACCGAAGCTGCCGCCTTCCCGCCGCGGGGGCGGCTCCGCGAACCTCACTTCCCGCCGGGCCCGCCGCGGGGCGGTCCCAACCACCACAGCTTCCGGCGCTTCACCGCGCGCCGCCGCCTGCGCGCGGAGAGGGCGCCGCGGGGTCACGTGGTACAGAGGCAGGCCCGCCATGGCTTGCGCCGCTGCCCTGCGCCAGCGCCGCTGCGTTCTGCGCACGCCTCTCCTCCCCCCCGCAACCGTAACCGGCCTGCCCACGGAGCGGGATCGCTGCCGGTGCCTGCGGCCGCAGCCACGGGAGGAACCCGAGGGAGGCCGCGAGGCGGGAGCGGCCGTCCCGTGGCCCGGCTGCGTCGCGGCTGCCCTCCAGTGAAAAAAATGAGGGAGCGCCCGACGCGCCGAGCCGGCCCCTTGGCCGCGGCCTCCCCTAGGCCGGCGGGGCCCCGTGGGGGCGGCCCGTGAGGGGAGGCCGGGCTCGACCGAAGCTTTCCAGGCGGCAAAGGCCCGCTGCCAGCCGCCCAGGGCAGGGCGAAGCGCGGGGCGGCGGCCGCTGCGGGCAGTTTCGCTGTCCCCACCTGAGGGGTCGGGGCGTGCAGGGACGCGAGCAGCCCGGGGCCCCCCCCGCGCTGGGGTGACCGTCCGCGAGGTCCCGGGAGCGGCCTCCCGTGTGGCAGCGCGGGAGGGTGGGCCGGGCCTTGCAGCGGGGCCTGCAGCGGGGGCCCCGGAGGGACGGCGGCGGTCGGAAGACTCCCAGGTGCAAAGTTTGCGCGCTTTACGGTCGGTGCTCACTGTAACAGGGCACGCAAGGGGGTTGTGCTTGGAACTGTTGCACACCTGCGTACGTCTGGTAAAACCAGGCGGTTTTCACGTCTTTCAGCAGGGGACTGGCGTTTTCTGTAACTGTTGCGCAGATGGTTACCGGAGCAGCAAACAGTTCACGACCAGTTCAGAATCAAGCTGCTAAGCAAATAGAGATCTTTTTACAAATCCCAAAGGGTTTTACATGCTAAAAAAACCCAAACAAACCAAAAGCCAAGAACAAGGAAGATGATATCTGTTATCTGTAGTGGCAGTATCTCCCATGCTCTAAAATATGTATGTTCATGTTTGATGTTAGTTGTTTTGCAGGGTTGTAAATGGTTAGGTGTTCTGTGTGCTCAAATGAGAAGGCTGGGTGAGGGAAGTGCCATTCAGTCTTCTGCTACTGTATTGACTGTACATGTATTTAAAACCCCACGATTTTAATGCTATACTATTGCACCATAAATATTCCAGCTTCATTTAGAAGCAAATGAGTATTTGTGAGACATGAGGCACTGGAATAGGTTGCCCAGGGAGGTTGTGAATGCTCCATCCCTGGCAGTGTTCAAGACCAGGTTGGACGAGGCCTTGGGTGATAGTGTGAGGTGTCCCTGCCCATGGCAGGGGGTTTGGAACTAGATGATCTTAAGGTCCTTTCCAACCCTAACGATTCTATGATTCTATGACATTACACATACCTCCTTCTGTACCAGCAACAGAGTACATGTTGTTTTTTTAAGATGTAAAAGCAGAACACAGATATTGAGCAATGTTTTCTAATGGAGAAATGAAAGAGGATGTAACAAATACCACATCAGGAGGTTTCAAAGTACAGCTGAACCATCATGCAGTTCAAACCAAGTAGAAGATGACCTGCTGATTCCTGACCGAGTGTGGAACTACAGCTTCTACTATCAATTTATTCACAAGTTTCCAAACAAAGTTTCTAAACGACTACCTTGTGTAAATACTTACATAGCATGACCTTCATAATTCACCTGGTCACTGCTGATTCTCCTGCAGATTGAGAGAAAATGTTTTTCCTGTTTAAATAAAATCCTTTCTCAAACTTGAGTTAAAAAAAGACTGGATTTGTTAAGTTACAATGCTATATCCCAGCTCTTATCCCATGACTTTGTGGACACTAAAGGAAGAAAAGCAGCATAAGATAATGTCAACATGCCTTTTTGTAAGAGTTTTGTGATGGTGGATGTCTTCATGTCATAGACCTACCAGTTAATTCTCCTGCCAAACTGCTTTTGGGGTTCTCATCCTGCACAGGATGAAGCTATCCCTTAACTTCGTCACACACCTCTTTCCTCACCACTTGCTATGCTGGCATTCCACCACAGGTTTCATGACTCTTATGCTTCCCTGATGAGGCCCCTCCCTCTGCCTGCTCCCAGTTGCCTCCTGTAGTGAAGGGACTGGCTGGTTGTAAGGACAGAAGGATGTAAAATACTTTGATTTTCATGACACCTTTGACACCTGCAGCTCCCATCTGCTTTGCCCATGTTGGCTATCTCTTATGGCTAGAAGCAAACCAAGTCAAATGTGCCACTGGCTGGGATATGAGATGGACAGCAACCAAGAGCAGGGTGCTTGGGAGATCTTGGTCTCCATACATGAGCCTCTCAGGCTTTTTCTGCCCTGCTTTGTCATTCTGTTGGTTTTACAGCCTCTACTGAATCCAGTAGGAGGTTGGCCATTATAAAGGAATGTGCTGAATCTACCAGGGAGGGAGAGGATGGCCACCAGCATCAGAGTGACTGTGTGAGTCTCAGAGGAAGCCACTGCTTTTCTGTGCTCCTGAAGAGAAGGTGCAATTCTGCAGTTGCTACATGCACTGTGCCCATACATGCCTCACCTTCCTGATATGACCGGCATCGGTATTGATACCTATGCACACGCTCACCTCTTGTGTAGTGTGACACGTTTCATTATTGCTCAGTTACAATACAGTCAAATGATGGATACACAGTTGGCCATAGGGCAGGAGGCAGCTTGTGAAGGCCTGGGAAGAGACAGAGATGGAGCAGGGCACACTCTGGCTGGTTCTGTCCCCGGGCACAAGCAGCCCCTTTCTGGCTTGGCATCCCCAGTGGAAGTTGCCACCTCTGTGCTGCTGCTCCTTGTGCCTTTCTCCTGGCATGCCCTGCACCGTGCCACTGCTTCCTATGAAAAGTGTTCTGGGCAGGGGGTGAACAGGGAAGAGGCTGGAACTTTTCCCCTGTGTGGGCACAAGAAGTCAGATCAGCGCTTTTTGGAAAACCATTGCCCAAATGAGGCCAGAAGCAGCTGCACACACTCTCTCTGACCTTTCCGCATTGCAGTCTCTGGACCACACTGGACAGGGAGCACTGCTGGGCTCCCCACCCCTTACCCTCCAGGCTGATGCTAGACACTCCATTTCACAGCCCATGGCTCCCCATCTTCCCTGCACTTGCACAGTGTGACATTTCCAGAGCCCGGGGTTTGCTGGCTACATGTTTGGCTTTTTTTCTTTTTCTTGTGGCACTTCTAATCTACATAAATCAACTCTCAAAACAGTTCCCTCCTCACTGTCATTTAGTTTAAATTTGCAGCGTTGTTACTTAATGCAGGCAGCTGACGGTCATCCAGTTTGCCAGAAAGAAACTGCGCACGATCGCATTCAGAAATACAGCCAAAGAAAAGAAGTTACAGTTTCCTGAACGCTCCCGAGAACGACTGCGGAAAATCCGCCCGCCTTTGGTGAGAAGGAGCGAAGGAGAACTACAGCTCCCAGCAGCCTGCCGGCAGCCGGGGAAGGGCAGAGTTCACTGTCACGTTGACAGTGGAGGACTAAGGGTGTGCGTCGGGTGCCGGGGCTGTCCGGCCCCCAGCGGAGCCGAAAGGCCTCTGGGAAGGGCAAGTGGAGTGGCCAGCGCTGGCCTCCTCCTGCCGCCCCTGCTTCACTTCGGCGCCCTGAGCAGCTCCGAACCTGCCCGGGTAAGCGTCTGACTCTGCAAACCACTTTGCTCCTCTGACTTCCTTCTTCTGCCAGAGGCAGCAGCACAGGGAGGGGAGGGACGAGAGCCGGGCGGCAAGAAGCAGCAGTTTTACACCCTCCCACCCTGCCTCCCAAATCTGGTGTTTAGCCGGAAAGCTCAACTGTAGAGACAGTGCGGCTGGGAGAAGGTGCCCCGCTATGCTAGACGGGCTGCTGAGAAGGCTGCGCTTGAGATTTCTGTATGGAAATCCCCACAAACCACTCCCAGTGGGGAAAGCTGCTCAGGAGTTTTCCGTGCTGCACGGATTTCCGCAGGCAGGCATTGCTCTTGTGAAGCCATCCACTTTCTGAGGTTACACTATCAGGCCAGCATGGCCATCCAGTCCCAAAGCATTTTAGCAGAGGGGGAAGTATTTCTGGGGGTGTAGGAGAGTCAGGGTGTTGCTCCATGTTCACAGCACCCAGCTAGGGCACTGCTGAGGGTCGGCTGGGGGTAACAGTGCTGCACACAGGCCAGTCGGTGTTTCTGTCAGTGGCTTCCCCTCCCAGCACCACTGTCTCCCGTTCTGACGTGCCAGAGGCAGGAAGGTAAGGTGGAACAGGCTCACTGCTCTGCGTCGGCCTGGCTGTGGGATCCCAGGTGCCTGGAAGCACATGGGGCAGCCTGCCAAGCCCCAGGCTCCAGGCCTGCCATCTCAAGAGCGCATGAGTCCATCCAAGTCCACCTGGGTGACAGACCGGTGCCTCCCTCCACTGGCTTGCCCCAAGACAGCAGCCTGCGGGAAGCAAAATATCTAATAGCTCTTGGGCTAAAGGTTTCAGTTTATCATCAGTATCCGTCCATTTTCATACCACCTTGGTAGTCGAGGAGGGAGTAGCCTCCTTCTTTACCATGAATCACTGCTCCTGTGTTTCTGGTTATCAGGTTTATGGGCATTTAATAGCAACTCCCAAGACCTAGACAGGATGGTGTCTGTGAGGAGGGTAGGATTTGATCAGCCACTCAGACAGCAGGGAGATACGTCTTCTTATGACCAAAGAAGAAAGTGAAACAAAACGGTGCAGAAGCCAGAGCTCCAGGGAAGAAAGAAAATGGAAGAGAATCCAAGTGTGGATCTCTCTGGAGGTAAGTGAATCATATGCTTAACTCCATCTACTAGGAAAACCCCTTTGCAAGAACACTTCAACAGTGATATGGGAAACCTAAATAAAATAATAAAAAAAAAAATAATAAAAAGAATCCCCTCTTTTCCAGACCCAGAAAAGCAAGTTGCTATCTTTTTTTGAAGGGTGAAAGATTAACAAGTTATTTCAGTTTTGGATTCCAGTCTGCAACAGGTTTACACTCTGTGTCCAGGATGGCAGCACAAGAAAGGCTAAAGATGCAGCTACAGCTGGGAGAGCTTTCTTCGGTGCATCCCAGTGCTTCCCATCTACAGATGCTTACATAATAGGCCAGTTTTCCATCACCTATGGATGGAAAACCTCTGGAGGAGGCACAGCAAGGAGTACTGTTTGTACCCAGCTTGAATAGCAGGATACCTTGAGGTTCTTCCTGGTTCAGTTTCTACCCTGTACTTACATCTTCCATGTGCCTCATTATGACTACTATATATTTCAGTGATACTGTGATGCTGTAACTAGTTCAGATCCATCCTAAGTGATCAGAAGTTTTCCCATCATAATCAGCAACAAGGAATGTAAAAGTCATGCTCCAAAGGACAGCATGTTCTGACATGTGACAAGGGCACGTTTTTCTCCATTTTCAAATTAGCGGGGAGTTCCTTGCCATTTTTATCAGTCTTTATTCTAGTTTTAGCATAATCATTTCTGTCATTATAGTGCTTGATCATTCATAAGGAGTTTTCCACAAATAGTGCCTGAAATTTGAGCTGCACTGTTTGGTTTTGTAAGATTCAAAATGTGTTACAAACACTTACTTTCAGTGTTCTGAGTAAGTATTTCTCTATTGAATTATGCTCCACTGTTTGCTTTTAATTATATGTTACCATAGCTGTCTGGGAGAGCAGCTCCAGAACAGGAGCAGAGAAGGAGCATGAGCAGAGCTGACATTTACAATTCCAACAGATGCTTGAAGTGCTTTTGTGTAACTATTCTGGCCAGTTCTCAACAACAACCTTAGAAATTCTTCAAATCCATCACCTTAATTTGCTAACCTAGGAAACCCCACTATCTGTGGAAGGTGTGGCAACATATCCTACCACATAATAAAAGAATTGCTCGCCCCAGCATGCATATAGACTGGGATTGAGTTAACTTTGCTCACAGCAGCCTGTACAGTGCTGTGTTTTGGATTTGTGGTTAAAAAAAAATAGTGTTGATAACACAGCAGTGTTTTGGTGATGGCTGAACAGTGCTGGCGTGGCATCAAGGCTTTCTCTTCCCCCCTCCTCTCCCTGCTCCAAACAAATAATTGGGGGGGGCAGAAGATTGGGTGGAGACCCAAGGTGGGAAATGGGTTATTGCATAAAGTATAACATCACACTCAGTAACAAAAAACGATACAGGAAGAAAGGGAGAGGGGGTTTGGTTCAGGCTGGACAGTGCTCAAAGAGTGGCCTGGCATCAGTCCACTTGTAGGAGATGGTGAGCAATTGCCTTTGCATTGCTTGTGGTTTCCCCTCCTTTCCTTCACTTATTCAGCTGTCCTGATCTCAAGCCATGAGTTTTCTCACTTTTGGTCACCTATTCTCTCCCCCGTCTCACCCGGGGTAGATGTTTCTGAAATACAAGAACTGGGAATTTTACAGGGTGGTGGTAAAGCACAGGGTATTCTTGATTCCTGTATGCCTAGCTGAGCTTCTGAACTCTGATTTCAACAGCAGGGCCAGCCCAGGATGAGGATCAGAGCACAGCAGGGCATCCTGTCCACCAAGAGCCCACCCAAGAAACACTTGAGCACCAAGTGGCAAGCAGGTGGCCTGAGACCTCCTGCAAACTAGAGGAGGACTCTTCAGTATGTAAATCACCAACTCCTGATGGAGACACAACACTGTCTGATTTAGCTGGCCCCACAGCAGAGAAGGTTAACCAGGAAGCTGAAATAGCACTGGAAGAATCTGGGAAAACAAGTGATGGTGTCTCCAAAAGATGCCAGGAAGAAGATGACTTGGATGAAGGTGAGTCTCTCCCCATCCAGCATTTCCAAAAATGCATAAATGCATATATGATTCTATATAGAGATATCTGACCCAGGTAAAGTGCTGTGTTCACTGCCTTGTGTTCATCTGTATAGAGAATCATCAAATGTGTTTCCAAAAATGCAGGAGGGGGTTGTTGGTTCTTGAATAAGACCAAAGAGAGGTAAGTGTAGGTCTGCAAATTTTATTCCCCATAGCCAAGCTGGCCCATGATAAAATGGACAGCAAAGGAGACAGCCCTGTACAGCAGGAAACATGGGAGGACCAGGAGATAAGCAGGCAATGTGAAAGCTCCTACACAGCAGAGGAAGATGCTTCATCAAGAAGCAAGTCACTAAGCTCTGACAGTAAAGTGACACATTTGTCTGTGACTGCCACAGAAGATATCACAAAGGACCCCTTGCCAGAGAAGAGCACCAGTGCTCCTCTCTTAGATCAGGAGCCAGAAGAGAACATGGAGCAAGAAACACAGGAAAATGGATCCCAAGGCATGTTAAGGAACAGACATGGGATGAAAGGTGAGCTGGTGGCTGCATGTTGCTGCTCTTCCACTATTCACATGCCTACACTTTGCATAGGTGTTAGAAAAATGGTAAGGTGAAATCTCTAGTGCTTATTGTCAATTCTCCAGAGTCAAGCATGAAAGAAGGTATAAGAAACTATCTGGCTTCTCTCTTTCTCTCTCCTTTGGGTACTGTCCTGCATGAAATCACACTGCACTCTGCATTATCTTTCTCCTTCCCCTGCTCAAATAGCAGACTGTCAAGACTCAAAGCAGTATTAATGCAAAGCAGTATTGACTTCTAACTCTTTCCCTCAGCTGGGAGCTCCTGGCAGCTCTGTTGCTTTTCTTATTGCAGCTGAATTTACCTGTTCCCTCAACCGTGAGTGGCACATTTCTTTTTCTTACTGTAGGGCACACATCTCCAAAGCCAGAGGCTCAGTCCTGCTTGGAGAATATCACCACCCAAAACACAGACCAGGAGAAGGCAAAAAAGTCCCTCTTCCTGAAAGGTGAGGAAAAGAAGCTTCCCTTGCATGTTACTCATCGACTGGAAGGCCCTGATCCTCCAGGAACAAGTAATGAAGCACATTTAATAATTCTTCTCTCTTGGGACCTTTCACAGCCTTTTCTGAGGGCTTGAGGGGAAAAACATTCCCTTAAAAATAGGCTCTGTTTGAACCTATAGTAACAGCTTTCATCCAGTTCTGCGTACTCCAAAGCAGGCATACATGCTCATGAAAAGCATGTTCAGACTGCTGGGATTACCCTGGCATGCCCTGGGAGGTCTGATGCCACTACATTGATGGTTTCCCTTCCCAGTCTCTCTCTGTGTCATGGGGCCCCAAGCAGGAACTGTGATGCTGATCTGGAGAGGGACAGAAGCAGTTGTGTCTGGACCTTGCTGTCCTTTTTGGGGCAGAAGCATGGTAGCCTTTGTTCACCCAGCATAGCTAGGAGGAAGGCAGAGAACACAACACTTTAGCTGGGTCAGACACCTGTATATAGAATCATAGGATCAGCTAGGTTGGAAAAGTCGTTTTAAGATCATCATGCCCAACCTTTACTGAAGGACTGCCAAGTCCCCCACTAAACCATGTCACTATGTGGAGATAGGTACTCTGAACAGCCACAAACCTTAAAGCAAACAGAGAGGGTGAAAGAAAAGCTTGTAGCTGCAATTTCCTCAGGAAATTCTGTGCAAAAAAGCTATGGCATTGCCTCCATCTTTGGAGCTGTAGCCCCCCCATCTGGTGGGTAGCCGCATGGGCGGAGCAGCTGCTTCATTCTTGGGTCCCCAGAGAACATGTCAATTTGAACCACTTTCCTAGTGTAGGTGAAAAGGTCTGAAATGAGAAAAAAGAACCTTCATAGCTACTTTGTAGCATATCATTGCAGGTCACTTGGGACTGACTTCTGTTCCCCATCTTGGGTCTTTCCCCTGTTGAACAGGGCTTATCACCTTGAGCCTTCTATTGCTTGGTCTCTGCCTACTCTGCTTCAGCAACCCAACCTCCAGTTCCCAGCAAGCCCCCAAGAACCCCACAGTGGAGGCATTCCTGTTGCAGTTCAACCAGCTGCAGGAGAGGTTTCCGGGGCAGAGTCCTCAACTCTGGCTTCGTGGGCGCAAGTTCCTGCAGAAGCACCTCAATGCATCTCACCACACGCAGCCAGCCATCATTATCTTTACAGCTGCCCGCAAGGGTGAGCAGACCTTGCGATGCCTTAGCACCCATGTGGCTGACACCTACTCGGCTGCCCTACATGGCAGCACGGTCCAGATTGATGGCATGGGGAAATCCAGGCTCCAGAGTGACAAGGCCAAGCTGGAGGTGGACATGGAGCTGAGCTCAGCTTTCCAGGCTAGGAGCCATGCTGCAGTGATCCACCGCTTTGAGTTGCTGCCGGCAGGGGCCACCCTCATTTTCTACAAATATTGTGACCATGAAAGTGCTGCTTTCAAGGACGTGGCCCTGCTGCTGACTGTGCTGCTGGAGGAGGAGACGCTGGAGACCCACATCAGCCTCCAGCAGGCGGAGGAGAGTGTCCGCGACTTCCTCTGGGCCAAGTTCATTGACACCAGGACCCCCAGCTCCCATGACCACATGGACTCTGACAAGTTCAGTGGGCTGTGGAGCCGCATCTCCCACCTGGTCCTACCTATCTACCCAGTGCAGGCCATCGAGAAGGGAGGCTGCCAGGTCCACACCAAACCCTAGGGGCAGAGGCTGCCAGAGCCCCAGAGGAGGGTTGGACAATGGTCCTGTCAGCTCTGGTGGAGGCATACACAAACAGTGCTATTTCTTTTCAATTTGTTTCTTGCATCTTCCTGGAAAGAGTTTGACAGGTATAAGTTGATTCAGGCTGTTTGCCAGCCTGGAGATGATAGATTGCACACTTCCTTCTGGCAGATGGGAAGAGTGGGTACTCTAGACTGCTAATTGCACAGGAGAACATTGCTGTGTGGGGAGGCAGGAGGGAAAACAGGACTTTGCAGGTAGCATTTCTATCAGAAGATACACAAATAACATACACAACTAGTATTCCAGAAAGATACTTCAGTATCTCTTTCATTTCTCCCTGCCTCTTAGTTTGCTAATGTCATGTACATTGGTCTCTGAATGTACTTTATCTAGAAGGTTTCTCTCCATTTTCAGAGTGCTGCTGAAACACAGGAAGGTCGAATTCCTCAAAGCCCAACATTTTGAAGGCATACTTCAAAAAGAAAACTCAGGGGTTTGGCCAGTCAGTCCTGATAGGGTCACACTTGCACAGACAGCTTGACACCTTGCAAAGACCAGATCCTAAATATAGAATGTCCAAACAAGCCTGCAATTCAGAAATCCCCTAAACATCAATTAGAAGAAATTTCAGAGAGCAGTGAAACAGAAACCACCTCACTGTTGCTCTGATTGCACAGGTAAAAGAATGAGTAACACAGTTTAACTTATGCTGCCTGTTTTAAAAAGTGTCCACTCTTGATCCCTTTGCTGCCACGAGACTATGACTACATCTTTGGGCTGATGCAAAAAACATTTAGCATTGATATTTATTTCAAATCACATAGGGTAGCACTCCAGGTCTTTGCCCTTCAAAGGTACATTGGCCTCCCTGACAGGCAGCTGGTGCTCTGTCATATGCTAAAGCAACTAGGAACAGAGCTGGGATTTGCTGGTAAAGACAAAATCTCTCATGTTAACACTAAAATTCCCCCCAAAAGCAAGTCGGTTTCTTACTGTGCCTCCTCTTCTGCATACCAGGAAGAGAAATCTGAGTCCTGGAAACACTGTGTTGCCCCTGCACACTGCACTTTTGCAGGTGCTCTGGGACAGAGCAGCCAACTCAGGGAACACCTCAGGGGTAGGTGCAGGTTGCAGCATTTATAGCAGCACAACGACCTGTCCCGGGTGTCAGACCCTCGTGCCTACAGAGTTGTCTGCCAGGGAAGGAGCAGCTGTAGCAGAGCATGGCTTATTTCCGTATAAGCAGCACAGACTGGGGCCTTACAGAGCCAGGCTCTGTATCCGAACAGGACAGAAATTGAGAACACTATGGTGTTTTTACAAGCAGCACATGTGAGTGCTTCTTAGAGCAACTGGATCCTGGTGCTGTCCAGGTCTCCTGCCAATGGTGCCTTGCTGATGTGCCCCACTGATGGGCCAGCTGAGGTACAACCCTGCACCCTAAAACCACAGCCTGTCTCTTCTTTCCTCCTGCTGCGTGCCTTGACGTCTCTTAGGAGATATGTGGCCACTAACTTGGAGGAGGGGACAAAACGAAGGAAGAGGAAGGGGTTATTTGTTCATGTTCTAGTGAAAGGACAACTTTGTTGGTTGGGGACATGAAGACACAACCAAAGAGTTTTAACTGTGACAAACACTAGGCTAGATGTGAGTTACCTGCTGCAGCTCAGCATCAGCAGGGCAGCCCAGAGCATGGTTTTGTATAAGATATAGGTTGCTTCCTCCCCTTCCTCCTTTTTATTGGTAAACATTACTTTGGTAACAGAAAATACTGTTTCTGCTCTGCACAGTTCAGTATGGGCGTTGATGTAAGAACCAGCAGACCATTAATCATGTTATGTCAATATCTCGAAGGAAGTCTGTATTTTAATGTTATCTCACTCTCAGTTTTATGCTCTGTTTTTGTAATGCATAGCTAGGGTATGGAAGGCCAAATTCACACTGCTTGGACACATCACTGTAAGCTCCATCCACCTGAGCTAGTCTAATACAGACATAGATATTTTTATGACCTTTTAAAGACAAACTGTCTGCTTGCTTCTGAACCAAAACTTCTATTTAAAAATAAATAATGAGATTGCAAAAGAAACCAGAAGTTCTTAAACTGAGACTGGACTCTTACCATACGTATTCTGCTTTTGTGATTGGTTGGTTTATTTGCTTGCTTTTTTGGTGGTGGTTTTTGTTGTTTTTTTTTTTTGTTGTTGTTTTGGTTTTGCTCTTTCTTTTTTCCCCTCCACTAGCTATTTTCAGTTTATTAAGGAAAAGGGATCATTAGATATTAGACAAAGTTTTTTTTAGGCCAGGGCTATATTTGTGCAAGCAAATCGAATATTAGCTTTTTCCAGAAAAAAAAACAACCCTTTTCTCAGTTGTTTGGGGCAAACATTTGCAGCTTTTTCAACTAAAGCAAAAGTAAAAACAAACCCCCAAACAGCCGCTGAATTCAGCGCAGACTGGAACATACTGAGGTTTGCGTAATGCTTAATGATAATAATTAAGCTAAAATCCATGGACAACTGAAATATTTGAGAAATACAGAAAGCAAATATTTCTCATTTCAACACCCTTCATCAGATCGGTTCCACCCAATGTCACACCATGTCAGCACACACGAATTCTTATATTTGTGATGAATTACTTTGCCCAGCTCTGGCCTAAACAGAGAAAAGGCTGAACAAAAGAGGATTTACTCTTTTTCTGGATTTTCTTCAGTCCCTGTCCAGGCCCTGACAACCTATTTAGGCATCTATTTTCACACAGATGTTCACGTGATTAATTGCCAGAAGTACACATCACTCGTCTCCTGTTGTCTGATGCAAGAGAACAAGACTTGGTCCTAGCCCAAAGATTCAGATGAAAGTCTGATGTCACCAGGTTAAATGATTGGTGGATGACAAACCCAGGCTTCTTTTTTAGTCTTGCACATGAATTCGAAAGTGAGTGCAAAGGGACCGGCTAAACAAGCTCCTAGAGTGTCTCCAGGCAGAAGGATGCACTGGTATTTTTCCCCTAGATGGTGTGCTAACCGTAGAATCATAGAACAGTTAGGGTTGGAAAGGACCTTAAGATCTGTGTTAGTAAACAGAATCATCATCCTGCTCCAAAAAACAGGTTGAACCGGGAATGGGAGTGGTGCCTGCCAGGTGACACAGAGGTCGTGGGGCACAGGGAGCAGATACACCCATGGCAGCTCAGGAGGAACTAAAGCTTCCCCTTCCCAGGCTGTGGCAGGTCAGCACAAGACCAGGATGAAGCAGGACATGGTCCAGCTCTGCAGCATCGCAGGTAAATTATTCTTCCCAGGCCTAGTTCATAATCTCTCTGGGAATGTCTCTTCCTGCACATACACATCACCCAGGCCCAGCAAGGCCATGGGTTTGGCTGGAGCTTATCAGTTGCCTGCTGTTACATGAATGCAAAAAAACTGAAATTATTTTTCAATTCCTGATCTTAAAAAAAATTAAAAAACTTATTTTACTTGGCCTATTAAAGCATTCCACTCCCCAGCTATCCTTCTGTTTTTTTTAGTACTGCTCTCTGCAGCAGTAGTTCTTCAGGGAAGGATGTGCTGCCACAGGGTGCTCAACAACCCTAAAAATCACCTTGAAAATTACACAGCACCTCAACTGAGGGGCAAAACCAGTTCTGGAAGGCCAGTCTGGACTGCATCACAAAATGAGCACTGATAATATGTGTGAATGTGTCACTGCCTTGTGATTAGGACATAAACTTACCATCTCCAGCATTTAAAGGCAAGTGGCCCAGCCAGTGCTGCATGGGCTTGGCATGCCACCTGGCTCTCTGTGCAGCATCCCTGTCCCTGCAACAGGCACATCATGCCACATCTCTGTTTGCCCCTCTGCACCAGCACAGGCTAAAACTGGAAGAAGGCAGGACAGAGAGAGACAGGTAGTGAACCCAGATGAGTTACATCTCTCCTTTTGAGCTTTAACCTCCAGGAGCTCTCTGACAGCTTAACTCTCCTGCAGCTCCATGCATGGGCAGGCTCTGCTGCCAGAGGGCTGGTTTCTTGGGGGTCACTTTTAGGCCTACAGACCTCCATTTTAAGAGAGATTTGCATATAGCAGGAGCTTAAGAGGTTTTTTTATTTCCCTCCTTCACCTCTCCAGGGGAAGCAGCCATACAATGAACTGCACAAAGGAGCTTGGCATCAGCCTATGGGCTGTGGATCTAGGAGCTGGCAATGAAAAAAGGCTTGAAGAATGCAGCTTGCACGTGTATTGCCCGCACAGGGAGGAGGCAAAGCCACGAGCAGACCTGCGGCCTCTCTCCGATTTGGCTGGAGTGTGCAGCTCTGCTCAGGCCGAGAGAGGGCACTCGAGAGCTGAGGATCTTCTCAGAGCCTGAGCAGAGGCAGCCCCGCGGTTCAACACAAGGGATGGAAACAGCCTCCCCACACCACACATCCTTTGAGGTCTGCTTCATCCTCTGCCCCAGCAACCTAGGGACCACTCAAACACCTCCGGGAAGCAGTTTCAGGTGGTGATCTCTACAGGAGAGTAGACCTGGCCTCTTTCCCCAGTTACAGCTTGAGCTAAATGAAGCCACTGTTTTTTCTGTTAACACAGCTGACCCCTTAGAGCTGATCAGAATGATAGAAAGAAGGACCAGCCATTTCCCTGGTCAGAGCTTGTGTCTGCAGTGGGAAGCCTTATACCACACAGGTTCTTCCACAAAAGGGAGAGCAAAGTCCAGTTGTTTCTGCTCCAAGGGCCAGGAAGGGGCATCTGTGCTGGGGCAAACACCAGGTAAAGCCAACTGAGTCACTGTGACTGTTCGGCCAGAGGTATAGACTAAAAACCCACTGCAGTGTCCTGCAAATCTGCTGTCAAAGACAGTCTTCCTCCAGCAGCTTGGCCAATGGGAGGAAAACACACACAGGGAAATAAAGAGGTCCAAATACCTTTACACTTCAGGCCCATCTTTCACATGCGTTTTTTTGAATTCACAACCTCTATAATTATGACGCTGAAACTTTCCCTGTGGGAAGATAGCTGCCATCTTGACATCTGCAAGTGAGTTGTGAGCAGAATAAATCCCTTCAGGTAATGTTAAAGGACAGTGTACTCCAGTCCTGCAGGACCTGCTGCAACAGCAGCCACAAACATTGGTTCTCCTTTCCAGAGGCAATATGCTTTGATTCCTCTTCCTGACTGTGTTTGGAAGATTCTGGGAGAAACAGTTGGCTGATGAAACACAATTCAATGAAACAAGAAGTTGAAATAACCCTAGGCAACTTCCAGAGGGCAAGAGATGAGCACAGATCAGATCCCTACAAGCAGCCCATATGTCCAAATGTGGCTGGCACCTACAGTGAAACTCACTGGCTGGCCCCAGCTCAAATTTGGTTATGGAGAGACTGTTGGGATGCACCTATATGGCTCTGCTATTGGGTGCTAATAAAGGGGAGATCCTCAACCTCATAAATCCTTTAAACATTCCCTGGTGGTAATAAAAACCTACTTTCTGTTAACAGGGCACATGAAACTGGGAAGCAGCAGAGGAAAAGCCCTTTTCAATGGCAAGGCTGAATGAAAGACCACAAAGAGCTGCTGCACATGCAGAGCTCAGCCTGCTCATGTACATAATACAGCAGAACCAGCTGGCCCAGTTACAAAGTGGAAAATTTACTTTAAATAAAGACAATAGGGAAAAAAAATACATATTGAGAGAGGTGGATTAGAAACGATTACAAGACTGGAAGCTGGTTGTGGTGGCTGGTGATGATTTTATTAGCAAAGTTTTAAGTGTATTAATTGGTTCAGTACACTACCAAACCCTTCTATATATTGATTAGTGGGGGTTGGGTTCTCAAGACTAAGAGGGAACCTTTATCTCCTACACCACTGTTCCCACATTGACTGAGATTACTCAAAATGTGCTCTGAACATCAAGAAAACAACCATGCTGCTTAAACTCAGGGTGTAAAATGGCAAGCAGCATTTTAACAGTGTCTTGCTGCCTTTCACACTGCACTTGCATCACCCCTGTGAGCAGAAGAGGCTCAAGAGTTGTGCTTAAGAGATGCAAACTGGCCTAGCAAGAAAGGTCAGGAGAGGGGGCACAGAGGGGCCCTGGAGGGGAGAGCACTGAAAGCCACCTGGATTTGCCCCATCACACTCCCTTAGCACCTCACATGCAGATCCCCCTCCTCAAATTGTCTTTGCACTGAAAAGCATACAACAGCCTGTTTCTGCCTCCCTGGGCTCCTGCTCATATACTGGGTTTGAGCTGTAGAACATCAGACACACCGCAACTCACGTGAGACCCGAACTGCTACTGACTCTATCACTCAGCTGGAGCCAGACACACTTTTCAGCACAGCCTCTCCTCCACCTAACTGCCTCTCCACAGCTTTGCTTATCTGCAGTGCAGGAGCTGGGTCCAGAGGAACATTACACAGGGCTGCAGCAGGGCAGGAAGGCCAAGAATTGATTCTGAAGCTTCCTCCCCATTTGTAGAAGGCAGCTCATGATGCAACCATGCTATTATCAGTGCTCCTCACTCTCATTTTCTCTGGATGGGTCAGAAGAACATTGCTCCCCTCCTCTCCTTGCCCCCTGCCTGCTAGCAAACAGCTTTGATGGGAGCTCCCAGTTGCTCCCTCCTGCTGACACCCCTCCATCATTCCTCTCTCCTTCCTCCCCTCCACCTTGAGGCTGAAACCCTTGGTAGGGGAGAGGTGTGGAGTGCTCGGATCACCTTCCTACACTAATTACAGCACATCTGGCAGGCAGGAACTGCTGCTGCCCAGGCGCCTGCCCCAGGTCAGAGACACCTAATGCCATTTTTGCACAGCCTCTGTCTATGGCTTACAGCAGCTGGAGACTCAAAGGATATCACCAAGAGCTGTCTTCTGATAACAAGCACAACAAATGGGGATCCAGAAAGGAGGGCAAGTAAATTCATTCCTCTTAAGTTACACACTTGACTATCTCAGTGTTCCAGCCTGAAAGCAGCATCTGGAGACAGGCATCGACAGATTTCTTTAGCCTGAAAGGTCTCAGGGAGCTTATGGGGGCTTTTGAGTGACATTGCACCTTCTGAGAAGGCCTCTAGCAAAGAGCAGACTGCTGGAGTAGGTTCAAATGGTCTGATATTGCACCGTGCTTTTTGCAGTTACTGACTTGGGTCAGGATGCACAAACTGAACAACTTCCATGTGTGGCTTAAGCTGCACTTTAGTATGCAACTTCACAAACCATGGAGGAGATCTGGGGGCCTCTGGGTAACTATATCCTCTTTTAGTATGGGCCAGGTCATCGGGCTCATTACCACAGGCACGATCCATTTGCAGCGCCAGAAAGAGCAGCTCTCCGTGTCCCGGGTAGTTTCCCTCCTTTCCGGCACGGACCACATGCTGCCCTTCAGCCCCAGGAGAACCAAAAGGGATGCACCAAGAAGCATAGCTTGCCCAGAAAGGGCAGGAAATAGGAACTGGGTAGAGCAAATGGTTTTGGTACAGGAGGAAACCAGCGGAGGGAGGACTTCGCTTGGGAGCGCGAGGTGTGCGCGGTGCAGGGGGCAGCGCGGGTGCCCGAGGTTCGGCAGGGACAGTCGCTGCATCCCGCTGCTCCCGGGAGACGCTGCGGGGCTACGAAGGAGCCGCAGAAAGCGGCGAGAGAAACTGGAGCTGTGCCGGGCGCTGGGACGGGCAGCGGGCAGGGCGGTACGAGGCGGCAGACCCAGGCTGCCCGCCCCCCTGCCGGCCCCGGCCCCGCAAGCTCGCAGGCGGGACGCGGGACCCGGGACCGAGCCCCGGGGCGGCGGGGCCTCAGAAGCGCCCGGCCCCCTGCCCCCCTGCCGAGCGGCCGCGCCGCGGGTCGCCACCCGGCAGGCTGTAAAGTCATTAACTCCCTCAGCCATGCCGGCCCGCGCGCCGGCTGCTCCTGCCACCACCGCTGGTGGGCCGCCGCGCCGCCTCGCCGTCTCCTCCGCGGCGGCGGCAGCGGCAGCGGCAGCAGCAGCAGCAGCGCGGCATGGCCGCTTCTCCCCACCGCCTCAGCCTCCTCCTCCTTCTCAGCGCCGCCGCCGCCCCCTTCGGCGCTAAGGTAAGCGGCAGCGGGTGGGTCCGCGGCGGCGAAGCCTCCCTTCGCCCCCTCCTTTCTTCCTTCCCTCCCCTCAGGGAGCCGCGGTGGGCCCGGGGCCAGGAGGGGCGCTCCGAGCTGGCGGGGCCGGTCCTGGCCACCCCGGGCCTGCGCGGGGCAGGGAGCGGGCGGTCGCCTTACGGAATCGGCGGCCCCTCGCCCTTCGTCGTAGGTTTCTGGTTCCTGCAGGGGGTAGCCTGGACTTGGGGCTTCCCCCGCTGCCCTCCTTCAGCCTTGAAGTACTTGAGGAGGGGGTTTTGTTGTGTCTTCCCCCAAATTTACCCCAGGGACCAGACGCTTTGCCCGTTCCCAGCGCGTGACTTTGTAAAAGGCCGACGGGGGATAACGGTGCCTGAGGAAGCTTCCCAGCATCACCTGAAGGATCATGGGGAGCAGGGCCTTTCCCTGGTGGGGGGTTTGCTAGGGGCTGCCCCCCATGCTCATCTCTAGCAGAGGGCTGACTCCAATTTAGGGCTGAAAACAGACTTTGATCCCCCCTGGCCCTCCTGCCACCCCACGCATGGGTTCAGGCAGCAGCTTTCTCTGCTAAGTGGGGTGCATGTCCAGACATTGAAGCCCCATGCTCCCGTCATCTCTGCTCTACTCCATAGAGGACTTTCTCAGCCTGGCCCTCCTGGCAGCACTTTTTTCCACAGCAACACCAGAACCCCTCCACCAGTCCCCTTCTCCCTGAGGCCCAGCCTGGGAGAGTTGCCCCTGTTACTGTGGCAGGGAGGCAGAAATCCCAGCTTTGCAGGGCACCGGCTGTGCTCCTGCCTTCACGGGTCACTGCGTGCATTCTGGCTTAGCGCTCCTGTTTCCCCAAGGGGAACCCAGCCAGATTTCTTTGCTGCTAAAGGGATTCTGCTCTGCAGAAGGGAAAAGAGGGTTTGGGGTTGTGTTTCCCACCCCCACAAGCCAGCCTCCATCATGGTGAAGCAATCTCACAGGAGCTATTTTAAATGCAGAGAAGACCAGACACCAGCTTTACTATGTATAATCCCGGTTTAAGGAGCAGCAGCATCTCCTGGTTTGGGGTTATCTTAATTTTACAGCTGAAGTGTCTCATTTCCACTGTTTTTACCTTCACACACATCCACTGCCCATTCTGTTTACCCCTTAGCTATAGGGCTATGTCAGAGAAAACTTCAGGCAGAGCAAGCTGGGTCAAGTTAAAAGATGTGAAGTCCTTCATTTAAGAGTGACCTGGATGGACTCCTCCCTCAGCACGTGCACGCAAGCCTTGGCTGCTGGTGGTTCTTTCTGCCCCCAGCAGCTGTGTTTGTACAGCACCTAAGCTGAGGGCATCTGGGCCTGGGAGAAAGGCTGCTGAGCTCTCCCCAGGACAAACACACACCAGTACTGTTCACAGGTCTGCTCTGAAGACTCCCTTACTCCAGGAGAATCCCACAGAGCACTCTGATCAAGGTTTGCATAGTGCAAGTTGGCCTAGCAGATGTTCCTGGTATTGATTGATATCTCCAGTGCAAGCCAGTGCACAAAATGGTCATTCAGGAATTAACCTACAGTTTCTCTTGCTGTCCTGTTTTCTTTATACAACATGATTATACAGAAAGCATCATAGAAAACCTAAATCTATAGATAGGGTAAGCAAATTCCTATGTGGGGCTAATTGCATTCAGTGCCTCTGAAAAAACTGACGAGATGCCTGTCATACACACCGCCTGTTATTCACTTCTTCCCCTTCACAGATTTCCATCCTTTTTACCAGTTTGCCCCAGAATAAGTGAGTTATCCCACTTGAAGAGCCTAACTGACTTGGATCAAGTATTTTGTAATGACGTGCAGCATTTGCCTCTGAAATTTCTGTCACAACAGGGTTATGAACAGTACCTCATAGTTTTCCACTGGCTTCTGTTCACCAGTTTTCTAATTTGCTTCTCATCTGCACCTCATTATATGTCTAGATTTCTGTTACATACCTGCTGCAATATCACATCTTTAGCAAGCTACCATTTCCACCCAGATTAACGTTCTTCCTGATCCCCTAAAATTTATGCTGCATTGCCTATTTTACCTCAGGATACCTTCTCCTCATGGAAGACTCCTCAGATACCTTGTTTCAACTTTTCTGAAGAAAATTGGGTTTTGTGTCTGCTTCCAACACTGAATCTCTCATACTAACTATTTAGCCTACCCAAATAGGATAAAACCATGACAGGATGAGAAGCAGCTTTACACAAACACCAGTTCTTTTGTAAAACATTAAGGCATAGTTGCAAATGCTATTGTCGTTTTTTTCAGGGCTGTGGTAGAATCTTTCACCACAGCTTTAGTCAGAGAATGGCATGGGGAACTCAAAGAAGAGGAGTTGAACATGGTCATTCATTTTCAGATAATAATCTGACATCCACTCCAGGCATTAAGACATCTGAAGCCACTTAGTATTTCAGTCAGTAGTGTGTATGGTTTGCTGTAGAGAGAAGCCCTTCAGTAAAGGGATCATGGAAATTTTTGGTAGAGGATGTACAGTTAATAGCCTCATAAAAAGTCTATGAAGAATTTATTTCATTTTCAGCTGCTGTTTCTAGTAGTCTTACAAGCTTAGACAGGGCTGAGAAGAACAGTTTATAACAGCTACTGTGCCCCTCAGGGGTGGGCCAGTGCTTAAGGCATGCCAGGCTGCAGCAGGAGAGCTTCCCCCCCCAAGCTCCTCTATTAAGGGAACTAGACAGGCATGTCTGTGGTCTCTCTTCCCAGACAGCATTTTTCCAGGACCCAGGCTCTAACGAATCTCAAGATTAGGCACAACAATAAGCAACACAGGAGTCTGGGCCACCGACACAGTAATTGAAGTTTTTCCCAGGTTTCTGGGAAACCCAGCATAGTTTAGAGCTGATCCAGGGCATGACAGGGAGTCAGTGGAGAATTTATTTTATCCCTTTCAGTTCTTCAGAAAGACCGCCTGGAAATCTGGTAGGATGTCAGTCCAAGCCCACCCTTCAGTGCAGGACTGAAGCATTTTGTTTGTGTCAGCCTTTGTTTGGCAGGGGGGAGAGGGGAAGCAGCTTCTGGGGCTTCAGTTACACCGAAAAAGCTTTCAGTGATGCTGGCTGAGAGACTGACGTTTCTGCTATTGATACTGGCAAATCTGGAGACAGATATTTTGTCATCAGAAAGTTCTCTGTAGGCTGGGGTTCAAAGATGTGGTTCCCCCAACAAGGAGACAGGAGGGCAACTCTCACTTACTCAGTTGCATCGCCTCCCCTGTAGGTGCAGAAGCAGAGAAATAGCTTGGTTAACCTCAGAGAGGAAGAACTGCAGCTATATAATCACTGGTGCCAAGCCACAAACGTCTGAGGGGAAATTCTTGTGGAAAGCACCTGGGTGAACTGGAATATGGTCCCTCTTTTCTACAGATGTAAATTCTAGGCCTTATATTCCTCATTACCTAAGGAATCTCACCTGATCCTCTTACCTCCTTTAGGCAGAGCCCTCACTCAAGGCCAGACAGAACCAGCCTTATAAAGACTGGACCTACTCACATTTCCTGCTCCATTGTTTCTAGCCTGCTCTGTTTCTGTTATTTGCAGAGTGCAAATTAGAGCAGTTCCAGCATCTCCTACAACAAGGAGAATGCAGAACAGTTGTTTTTAAGCACCTTTGATTTATCCTACAAGGAGGAGGTGGGGGAGAGGAATTCACTTGGCCAGAAGGTAATTTGGGATTTGCTGAGGGGCTTGGGAAACTAAAGCTAGGAGCTAATCTAATCTGGAGTCTTTCCTACAGTCTTTAATTTACTATCTGAAAATTTGGAAAATGCAAGTATCACTAATGAAAAACAAGAACCGTTTGTGTGTCACGGTTAGTGCAGATTTATTTCTGACAGTGTAATAAATTCAGCACAGATTGAAACTAGCTGTCCCAGCTCTAAGTACCTGGAGTTCCCCCTCTACGTCACCAGGCCTAGGACTCTGGTGTAGTCATGCTGCAAGTCTTACTGGTCAAGGGGACAGCTCAGCATTTTCCTTACACAAGAAAATAAGCATTCCTAGGCAAAGATCGGCAAGGCAGCTTGGTCATGGAAAACCTGAGAGCCAAATCAATCTACTTTAAAAGTGATTGATTACTCCAGTGCAATGAGGAAGCAGGAACAGAATTTATGGATATAGGAAAACACATTTTATTTTTAAAAAAGGTTTTGCCTAGCATCCTTCAATAAATCTTCCTCTGGGCTCCTGTCATCCCTGAAAGTCCCAGTGTGGAGAGAAACGTATCTTGTTCTAACCATAAGAAAGAGGCACACAAAGGGAGAGATGCTGATCTTCTCCAAGCATGCCAAGTCTCCTTGCATCAAGGCAAAACACCCGAGCAGTAACCCAGCAAAGAAGACTGCAACTTTCCCCTCTCCAGATACACAAAGTCTTTTTCATATCTAGGGATAAGTTAGTAGAACAGCCCATCTAACTTCCCTTCTGTTTTGTTTCTGCCTTGTCTTGCCTATTTGGGTTGTAAAATCTGTGGAGCAGGATTATCTTGCTGGTTAGAGTGTCAGATTTTTATTGCCACCTGGGGAAAAGCTGTGTAAATATTGCAGCTTTTAGTCCACATGCCTTCTCCCCAGGCTGTCCATGCACCTCATGCAACTATTTAGTGAAGTGGTAAGACACAAGCTTTGATTATTACCCCAGCCATGAGAGCTCTCTGGAAAGACACCAGATAAATCATTGGCATTCTCCATCCCAACAATTGTGAAGAGCTCTTTCTCCACAGGCCTTGAGATGCTTATCACAGAGAAGCATACAAGAGGTCAAGGAAAGATTCTAGCCAAAAATACCGTACAATAAGAGACCTTTGTTTTTTTTCATTTCTAAGTGTGAAAGCAACATAGTCAGCATTTCCATTTACAGTCTGATAGTATACAGTCAGACAAAAATTCTCATAGGAAATGGGTTGAGATGATCATTTGGAAGAAGAGAAAAAGTTATTTGTGAAAATATGTCTGTTTCCTGTAAGCTTAATTTTTCTCTCGAGCAGCTCAGCTTCTGACCACAGCATTTGGTCCCTGTCAGGCAAGTCAACTCCAGCCAGAACATCCAAGTACAGCCAAAAGTTTTGCCGTATTATTGTTTTCAAAAATTAACTATTGTAATCATTAGAGAGTAAAGCATTGGGTATTATGGTGCTTTTCTGCAGAAGAAAAGGTTACTTTCAGCATGTTCTGGCTATCTCCAAGAAGCAGCACTATGCATATTTCAGCCACTCTAAGTTACAACTTAAAAACATTTGCATGAACCAGCTGCATCTCCTCTGCCCAGAGGGTGTTCTGTTGGCAGATGCTGTAAAAACAAGTTTTCAGGCAGGAATTACACTACAAGATGAAAAACACTTTAGCTGTATTACACTATGAAAGAGCATAAAGCCAAGAGACAGACAACCAAAACAGCATACAGAGCACATTTAGTGATGAGCAAACCCTGCTGAGTTTTCTTTCACGTCCATCGGTTAAGCTTTGCAGACTGGTTCTTTGCAACAGGATTATTTGCCACTGCCACAGATAGTAGCACTGATACAACTTCCCTGAGCCTTTACTTCAACATAGCAGACTTCACACACACATTATTTATTTTCTTCTACTAGTACTCAAACATTGTCAGTGTTTCAACTGGATAAATCCCTTCTAGTCACTGTCCTGTGTTAAATTCATTGCTGCATTTAACACTACTCACAGCTGTATTTCAATGAACAGCAAATTAATTCCTGCACAGGCTAGTTTTCCAAAGTCCATTGGGAGTTTTCAAGCCATCAGACAGACACTAAACAGGAAAATATTCTAAGAAAGAAACCCAAACCTGAAGCTAAAGCACAGAATCTCTTACCTGCTGGGAATTGTGAAGACACAGCCAACAGCAGCCTGCTGCAATGACCATACTGGGGCCAGGAGAGCTCAGTTTTGCCAAAATTAAAGGCTCGGCCCCAGCAAGGCATGCTGGGAGATGGAGTAATCCACCTCTGAGAATAGTGGGGTGCATATTGCAATTGCAATATCCATCTCCAGCAATTGCAGGAGACTCAGGTTCTGAAGCACTCTTGAAAATGGCTTGTGAGGGCTGGAGGAAGAGGAGCTTGGATGTGAGCTGATTTAATCAGTGAAATGCAGCTCCAGTGAGTGATAGATGTGTACCCCCAGCTTCCCTGCAGGCAGGCATCTGCATGGCCAAGCACTGCAGATCTTCCTCTTCTCTCCTGACCTTGCATCAGACCTAGGCAGGCAGCATGATCTGTTGTTCTCTCTGACCCAGGCTGCAGCTGATGGTACTGTCACACATAACCAGCCCAACAGCCCTTCTCTACAGCATGGCATAAGATCCCAGGGGCATTCTCCTTCCCATAACTCACTCTTCGAGGGAAATTTGAATTTTGAGGTGCATGAGCCTGGTGTGGCCCCACAGGGACCTTGATCCTGCCATGGTTGTCCCAGTGCTGTCCATTTAGAGGGCATCCAGGTGACATGGTCCCTGAGGGAGCTGCCTTTGGAAGGCCCTTCTCTGTTTCAGGGCTGGTGAGGAGCCAGGTTCTCCAGCTAACCATGCTCTGTTTCTGTCAGGACAGTAGTGAGGCAGCAGATGGAGCTGGCTCCTGGGATGAAGAAGTCACCAAGTGGTGGGGAGAGTGGAGCTCCTGGTCCACCTGCTCCCGGTCCTGCGGAGGAGGCGTGATGTCCCGGGAGAGGCACTGCTTGCAACAGAGGTGTGTTGTGTCCCAGCCTGAGCCCTTGGCCAGGTCTGAAATGGCAGAGGGGAAATGGGGTGCCCCTCACCTATGTTTTAGGGCTGAACCGCCTGAGTTTGTAGGGTCAGCTGTTCTGTCTTCATCCCTGGTCTCTTGGAAAGGAAGGTGGCAGTGGCCCATGGGGTAGGTGATGAGCAGGCAGTGGTGGGGAGGGCTGGCAAGGGAGAAGCATGCTGCAATGGGGCAAGCCACAGGCCCCCTGAACACATCACCCACTCAGCCTGGTTCATCTGATAGGGAGCAAGGGGTTGGTCCCCTTTTGGAGTCTGTGGGAGATTTGACAAAGTTGTGAGCTGAAGAAAGCTAGCTCTATTCCACTTCCCCTTTCCTTCACTTGCTGTGGTAGCTCTGACCAACCTAACCCTGATTTGTAGGCAGTTCCTGTGCTAAGGATGTGGGTACATACTCCCAAATGCCTTATGGGGACTTGATTTACTCCTGACAGCAGTTAGCTCAGCCACATCTCAGCAGTTTCCCCTCTTTATTCTCTGCAGAGCTTGCAAGTTTATTTCCCTCTGTGATATATCTGGCATCTCCATTTGTCCCCTATAGCCACATTTGTCCCCTACAGCTGCTACAGTCCTGGTATCAGTTGGACTGGGTCTGTGGGAGTGAGGAGTACTGGGGAACTTCAGCTGCCTGAACTCCTGCTGTATCTCCTGAGTCACCTTGCCGCCAAGCTCTCCTCTTCCTGCACACCTCACTAATCTCCTACTCCAGGCTCCTGTGATGTTAATGAGAGCCAGTATCCTGCAGCACAGCAAGCTCACAGGCGCTGCCCACCGCATACTCTGCCCCTTTCCCTTCTGCATGGATGCACTCCTGAGTGGAGGAAGCTCAAGCTAGGATCCTGCTCTCCTTCCTTCAGCAGAAAACTTATTTTATGTGGGCTCTTTGACAGCATGGTGAGGGTCCAGATGTGCTGCAGTACCTTCCGTCTGGGTGTAGCCTCTATGCTACCTTGCCAATGTCTCTGCTATTGCTTTTCCCTGGCACACTATGGCCATGATGGGAGAAGAGTGGGAAACAAAGGGTGGGAAGGAGCCTGGGGCTGTCCCATACCCCCCACAGCCAGAGCAGCCTGTTTGCCCTTTGCCTGCTGACAGAAAAGACATTTTCATCTCCATTTGGCATCTGCTGTATCCTTGACACCACAAATGGGGAGGGGAGGACTTTGCTATGACATTTTACTCCAGGGATTGATTCAGATTCAAACAAACAAAAAAACCCTCACCATAAAAGCCAGTCAAAAGGTTTTTTCAGCTTTAAGGAGACTGGCTTAAGTCTGAGCCAGGTATGCCCACAAAATGATTTCTGAGGCTGCAGGAAGCCTCTGCTTCAGCTGGAAAGGATGGCAGTTTTCAAGCTGGTTGGTGTAAATTTAGGCTTTGCCTACATCATGTAAAACATTGTTCTAGAGGAACAGCTGCAGAGCCTCCAGCTAGTCCAGCCTGAGTATGCCTACAGAGTTCTTCATTACACAGTGCACCCTAAGTTCCCAATACTGTTAACACATTGCCTGCTACTCCTGTTCACACACACTGTTGCCGTAATCTGTGGTCTCGGCCATTCTCCATACGTCTTCCCAGCTTTCAAGATTTTTTTTGCCTTTGCATCAATCCAGGACTCCAGTGTCCCATGGATAGCCCTTGCTGGACAGAGCTGAAGTGTTGAGAAATTCCCATGGTTTTGGTCCATTATCTGCTAATCTTTTAACTGGGCCAGTCCCCATGAGAGCTTCCATCTCTGCCTTCTGCAAAGTGAATCCTGAGATCAGCTTCCCTGGTCACTGCACTTCCATGGGAGTGAAGCATCATCAGGGTCTGTTGTCGTTTCATCACATCAACCCTTTTGGAGCTCAGAGGTCAAGAGACACAGAGGTGGTGGTACTGGAGTTGCTCCCTGTCTGCTCAACCTGTCCCAAAATGAGATTAATCTAAAATCACAGTTCACCTAAAAGCACAGAAAACAGAGATGTTGGCTAGTCTAGATCCAGAAAGCTTTCCTGTGATAAAAATACTTGCCTTGCTTCTCCCACTTAAGTCAGGCCTAACTTCTCTGTCATCTTTACTACCTCAGTACTTCACAGACCTCCAGCTCATTTTCTTTCTGGTTTGCAGGCTACAGATACCCCAGGCAACAAACAGTACCATATGTGTTGGTCAAGCCAAGCACTACCAACTGTGTCAGCAGCAGGTAAGAACAACTTCCAGTACTAACTGGTCCTTACTGGGGAATGTGAAATTCGGAGAGCTGCAAGAGTAGCAGCACTCAGAGTGCAGACAGGGGGTGTGATCAACTCCTGGGGTGGGTGACAGTGTGCCTTTGAAGATACAAGAGATGGGCTCTACTCTCTGGGACTGAGAGGTGGGGGAATAGGATATAAAAATGTATTTGTTGTGGGGTGGGGAGGTGAATAAAGTTTTTCCAGTATGTTTTTTCTTTGCTGGAATTAAGTTTTGCAGGACTGTTAAATACAGCTGTCTGAAGGGCCCTTGGCAACAGAGGCCTGGCCTTTCTGCTTGTATTACAGCATCTCAGAGTCCATCACTGATTCCTTCCAGGGTGGACAGGGCATTTTCATCCTCCAGGGATGCAGAAGGGATAAGTAGCTGTCACAACCATGGCTGTGACATAGGGAGCTTTTGATCACATTTATTCCCTCCATAGCCCTGCCCAGCCAACACAGCAAGCTTCAAACAGCAGCAGTGCTCCAGTTTCAATGCCAAAGCCTTTGGGAAGCGTTACTACCACTGGATGCCTCTCTATCCAGGTGGGTTTTCACATCTTCACTCAAAGGATCAGGGAGAGAAAAAACCCACAGGATTTTCTGACACAGGAGAAGGGGAAGGTTCCAGGGGAAAAGGGATGGATGCTCCTGGCTGGTCTGGAAGTGCTTCCCTATGCTCCCTGCTTTGGAGAAATCGTTCCCTGTCTTTTCACAGAACTGCTCCACCCAGCCAGGCCTCCTCTCTCACCACATTGCTCCTGTTTTGGATCCTACATCAGCAAGCACTGGTGGGCAGACAGGACACAGGCTTCTCTGAGTTGTCTTGGCTAACCAGCAGTCATCTTGGCAGAGTGGGTGTTCACGCTCTTTGTGCCTTCTACAATTTTGGCTGCCTCTGTCACCCAGCATGCTTTATGTGGGGTTGGTGGTGGGTTGTTCTGAACAGGATGCCCATGGATTTCCTGTACAGGCAAGACAGATTGCTTCACATGGGTTGCTAATTGTGCCTTGAGGCCCAGACTGAGCTCACCACAGATATTATCCGCTTTCTGGACCCACCTGTTTTTCCATTAGCTGCCAAGGGGACATAGCTGCACCTCTAGCTTCGCTTTCTGAGCTGAATGGGGTGGACCTGCCCACAGCCCCCCATAGTCAGTATCCCTCTTACAGGTCTTGCTTGCTCTTTTGTATTTATGTGTGGCCTGGGATCTGCTAATGCAGAGTCCCATGTTTGGCACAGGGCATTGCAAAGGGGAGAGGGTATGGCAAAGAAAAGGGCTTGCCAGCAAGAACTGTTTCTGTTAGGCGTGGTTCCCAGCTGCAGCCCCATACCATGCCCACTTTGGTACTACAAAATCTGTAGCCTTGGGGTCTCATCTCAAGCAGCAAGAATATCCAAGCTGACATCAGCATGAGTAAGAGGAAAGTCCCCTTTCTCGCTGCCCATCTCTGAGTACCTTGATCTGCCTGGTGACTTTCTGCCTCTGTCCCTTCAGATGACTACACCAGTATCTCCAATAAGCCATGTGACCTCCAGTGCACTACCCAAAGTGGAGAGAGGCAGCTGATGGTCCAAGCACAGGATGGTACCTCCTGCAAGGACAGGACCTATCAAGGGGTCTGCATCAATGGGAAATGTGAGGTGAGGCTCTGGGAGGAATTAGTATAGAAATCAGGAGCGTGTAAGTGCATGCCTGGCTGAATTACTGCTGCTGTGGGATTCATTCATTACTCTATTCCAAGCTAACCAATGTCACCCAGTCTCAGAGCCTCACCAAAAGAGCATGGTAGCATTTTCTTGAAAAGACCCTGACCTGTGGAGATGTACTGGCCTGGGGAAACCCTCTCTTGTTCTGTTCCTTGCAGCCAGTTGGGTGCGATGGGAGCCTGTACTCACCCCGGACGATGGACAGATGCAGGGTGTGTGGAGGGGACGGCAGCACTTGCCACCGTGTCTCGGGCAGCTTCCGAAAGGCAGTCTCACAGATAGGTACTCCCTGCTACCACAGTCTGGAGACTTCACCTGTTACTTCTTACACCAGCGGGCATGAAGGGTAACTGGCTTGGATGCGGGTAGGAGTTTCCCAGCTGCTTGATGGAAAGACCTGAAGAGTATCATGCCTGCTTAAATGCCTGTAATTTGTCCTTTTCACTTATTCACCAGAGGAGATGGGTTTTGATGTGCTGTATATTAGGCTGGTAAGGTTTCCCTTCACCTCTTTACAGCAGGAAGCAGCTGGGGATCTATTTGTTCCTATTGATTTTGGCATCTTGACTACCTCAGATAATGTGAAGAGATCAACAAATCTTTTTTTATTTGTGCTATGTATTCATTTGAAACTTAAGCTCCTATGGTGAGGGTCACAGTGTTTCAGCCTTCAATTAGACTCCTGCTTTACCCAGTCCTATGGCTGGCACAGCTGAAGAGAAGTCCCCCTGAAACTGGGCTGAGATTCATCCCTTGCAGCTTCATGGCCCATTCTTCCACCCACAGAAGGAAAAGACTGTGGTATACTCAGTAGTAGTTAATTAACTGGTGTTTGAGAGTGTTTTGGAACATTTCACACTGTTGATATTTCACTAGTCTGCATCACTCCCTACAGACACCAGACTAGGAAAGCACTCAGGCCCCTTTCCAGAGCAGGGGTAATGGTGCTAACCTCTCGAGCAGTACATGTATGGATTTGGCTTCCAATTCCAGTCCTCATAAAATCTTACAGAATGGACAAGACCTGCATTTCTAGCAGGAAAGACAAGCTGCCAAACCCACAACTTTTAAGAGCCTTCTTATTTCCTCTCCCTTTAAAGGTCAATTTTTATGCTGCTCCTGAGACAAATTCTGTTGAGCCAGTTGCTGAAGGGCCCTGTGTTTTTTTCCATCCTCTGTTTAGCATCAGTCCTGATCACTAGTAACCTTTTTCTCTGCTCCTGCCAGAAAGACTGCAACAGCACGTTCAACCACACATTAAAGCCAGACTATTATACTTGTGCAACTCCTTCCTCACTCCAGACCCAGCAGTGCTCAGACTGAGCCTTAGAGATCTGTAGCAGTGATTTGTAATGCAAATAAGAGTCCTGCCCCTGAAGGGCAGCATTGCCCTCCTACATACACACTTGTCCTACAAGCTGCTTTTCCTACCCAGACCTTTTTATTTTGTCCTCGAGGTTTCCTCACACTCTGTTCTGTTCATCAGGTTATGTGTTCATCACCAACATTCCAGCTGGTGCCACAGATATCCTTATCATTGAGCGCAGGAAAACAGAAAACATCCTAGGTAAGCAGAGGAGCCAGATGGATATGGAGATCCCAGTTCAGCTGCCTGGGACGTGGGAAGACGGCTCTGTGCACTCCCATCAATTCTGTGAGAGAGCTATCTGTGAGCATTTCCTCCAGGGTAGCATAGGGGCACTTCATCTATCCATAAATCAAAGTTATATCTCCAGCAACCAGTGGCAAGAGGGACATTTGGAAACAGCTCACTATGGACTGTCCCTCTTGTGAAGACATTTGTGCTCTTGGAGAGGGAAATGAAAGCAGCAGGCACTGAACACTGCTGACCTAATGTGGAAGATGAATGCTGGAAGGCCTATAGTTCTTTTCCTATTGGGTTTTTCTTGCTCTTGAGCTGTTTGCTCTTCTCAGTTACCAGTGCAGCCCCAGTGTTCTGCACAGAGTTATCACATTTACCCATTTTCTCTCTCTTTGAAGCACTTGCAGATGAATCTGGACATTTCTTCTTCAATGGTAACTCTGCCATTGACAACCCTCAGAACTTCAGGGTAGCTGGCACAGTCTTCAAGTACCGGCGGCCCTTGAGCCTGAACTCAGATGGACTGGAGTATATCATAGCTCACGGACCCACTAACCAGTCTCTGAATGCCATGGTATGTAAAGAACTAGTTTTAAGCTTTCCTGTCTTGCCTATACTAAAATTGTCAGCCTCCCTCAGACAAGGGGAATATTAACCTGGTTCCCAAGCCAAACTGGTAGGTGGCTGAGGAAGCCATATATTGGTTTGGCTGTGTGTACTTCTCTTGGATTTATGAGGATGCTGTCTTCTTTTATCATCCATCACAAGATGGCTGTGGCTAGGGGAGTTCTCTGGGAAATACATGCCCTTAAGATAAAGAGAGTTTTGTTTTCTTGCTCCGTTTCCTCCAGTACTACAACTTCAATGGGAAAATGCCACACATAACTTATGACTACACTGTACCACGGATACTGCCTCTCCAAACTGCAGCCCCTGATATAGACAGACCGCTCTACTACCACCTGCCAGAGACCAGCCAGAACTATCCCATTCCAGCTAACTCCAGAGCTGCCCAGGACTTCAACACCACATGGCTCACTCTGTCGCCAGATGATACCAGTGAACAGCTTCCTCTAAGAGAAGAGCATGAAGATTTAGGCTTGGGTCACCCACACTTCTTCCAGACCAACTCCACCAGTCAGGCTCAGGACTGGGGCTGGAAGCAAGGTGAAGAGAAGAACTATGACTTCCAGATAAGACAAATATATCCCACAAACACAGCAGGAGAGGATGAGGAAGCAGCAGCAGTTGGTGGAGAAACAGAGTTGGGTTGCTTGCTTTGTCGCTCCTTCTCTCCCAATTTATTCATTGGAAGAGGACATACCACACTGGTCTTCTTGAAATCTAAGGTGGCTTTACCATCTGGGTGGACAGGAGGGAATGACACTTGGTAGTGGGGTGGAGACTGTCAGGGAGCAGCAAGGGCTAGTAACTGTTAGGGAAGGGGAGCTGGGAGAGAGTAACCACAGCAGAGATCAGTCAATGCCCTCTTAGGCAGAGCAGTTCCAAAGCACCTGAGCTTGGCAGGCAGGGCAGGGACAGGAGCAGTCCAGAGATCATCAGGTAAAAACAAGGGGAGAAGTCCAATCTGAGGTCAGTCTGGGGAAGCCAAACAACAGTTTAGGAAGAAAGAACACCAGAAATGAAGGCCCAGGCCTGCACTTAATTGGAGCTCCTGAGCAATGGGCAGAGTGTATATGAAGCTGCTCAGGGCAGTTAAGGCCTGTTGGTGCTCCCTGGTGGCAAAAAAAACCCAAACAAAACCAGTGATTTTGAGGCCAAATAAGTTCTTTTGTCTTGTTAAATACCACATGCTGAAGTATATGCCATTCAATATAGTTCAAGCATGCCTGTATTTTTTTCCAGCTCTTAGGTTTAATCAGATTTCCATCAGCACAACTGTACCCTATAGCATGAGGAGATCCAAGCTCCCAGAGAACAGCCACATAGCATCCTCCACCCTTCATCTCTTCAGGCGCCTGTGTCACCGAGACACACACAACACTGCCTTCTGTAGGGAGTTGCAGCACCTGGCCAGGCTGGCCTCAAGAAACTCCACAGCAGGACTATGGGCCGAGACAGCTGCTCAGTGGCCACAGGGCCTCCACAAAGTGCCAGCTCGTAAGAACTCACTGGAAGACTTGAAGGTGGATGCATTTGCTGGGAGTCAGGGGGAAGCAGCCAACTCCAGCATGATGGCACCTGTGGAGAGCCCTCTGCTGGGTGCCAGCCCAACCATGGACATCAGCCAAGCAGAGCCTTTGCAAGCTCCTGGCACTGAAAGGTGGCACTTGATTTCATGGGCAAAACAAATGCATGGTTAGCTAGGGAGGGAAGGACAAGTCAGTCCTCTGGTAGTCCCACTGCTGTCCTTGATGTCCCCATTCACCGGTGTCTGCCTGTGGCAGCTGTTGTAGATGCTTGACCAATGGTATGTCCTTCAAAGACTGATTGTTACAATTGGCCTGACACACGGCTCCCAGAACGTATTTCAGGTCCCCTGCATCTAGGGGATCCATTTAAACACATGCTGAAGGACCTGTGAAGCCAACACTGACGTGGTTGTAAAGAAGGCTAGGAGTCTATAGCATGTCACGTGTTTACCACTACATCATGCCGCTTCTGTTCCATTCGTCTGAGCACATAAGCTTGTTGAAGCTTCTGTAACATCAGTAAATATTTGGCAGGAGAATAAGGGCCAATTTTTAAACATTTCTGGCAAACCACATGTGAATTCTTCTCATCAAATTATATACTAAGAAGGACCATGCTTGAGCTCCCCTTTCCAGCCTAGTATACCTCTCAAGGTGATAGTGTGAACTGAGGCTGAGGGCACCCGCTTGGTCAAAAGACCATAATATACACAAGACTCATAATGAGTGTTGCCTCCTCTCAACAGTGATGTTGACACACTGCCTTGCTTGTTGAATTCAGGAGGTGGATCAAGGCTTTACATTCTGTTCATCAGTGGTCCATCTTGACCAAGGTGGGGGAGGTGGAGAGCAGAAACACTAGGGTTTTTCCCATCTTCAGAGACACTGGAGAGGAATTTCAATATATTATGTTTGTGGCAATTCCTCATTTTTAGCTCATATTGCCTCCTTTTTCCACAGCAATGAGTTTGATGTGAGCCCTGTGGGCCATGATGACATAAGCTTGGCTGACATGTATCGGTGGAAAGTCTCAGCTTATGCCCCCTGCAGCTCCACATGCACTTCAGGTAGGTTTGGCTTCAAGTGACTGATCATGTGAAGTCCTTTTTGGCGTTGATGGGGTGAATACTGGTATTTTTTAAAATGGCAGGTAGCGTTTCAGATGCAGTGAGCACTCCAATAACTTAATCATGGTGAGCGGAGGCTTTTAATCCAATGGAGTGTGACCAAGGCAGTGTCTTGATTGCCCAGCAGGTATCAGTGCCTCTTATGCGATGTGTGTCCGGTATGATGGAGTGGAAGTGGATGAAACATACTGTGATGCCCTAACCCGACCAGAACCTACTCATGAATTTTGCACAGGGAGAGATTGCCAGCCTAGGTGAGTGGAAATGACATCAGCTATCCACAGGGACAAGATGTCTTTCTAAGGATCATTTTTTGCTCAATGTATACAGCCATTTCTGGGCTGAAAGATATGCTTAAACTTGAAAGTATCCTCTTTAAGCAAAAAGAGGGAAGAAATTTGCTGTCTAAATTGCCTGCAGTTAGACCAGCATTGCCTTAACACAGACATATATGTGATGAGCAGATTCATAGCAGCAGCTACTGGGTGAGGGGGTTCCAGTTATGCAGGCATTCCCCAGCCACCCCGTGCCCCTTGTCTCCCTTACCTGGGTTTTCCTTTGTGCCTTCTCCTTGGGACTGCCCGTGGAGGTGGGAGACCAGCCGGTGGAGTGAGTGCTCCAGAACCTGCGGTGAGGGCTATCAGTACCGCACTGTGCGCTGCTGGAAGATGTTGGCTCCAGGCTTCGACAGCTCTGTTTATGATGACCTCTGTGAGTCAGCTGGGCTGGCCAGGCCCATGGAGAGGAAAGCCTGCCATAACAAGGCCTGTGGGCCCCAGTGGGAGCTCTCTGAGTGGTCTGAGGTAGGTAAGCAGCAGGAGAACTTTGCTTCCAGAGGTAAGCAGCCAGGGCTGGGCTGGGGCCTGGAGGAAGGTGGCTAGTAGATGTTGGGTGCTAAAGAAGCCCTTGGCTACCTGCATCCTGGGGAAGCAAGGACTGCCTTTATGCATGGCTATTCTGTTCTGGCACTGCTCAGCAGACAAAATCCATTGCAAAACGTTTGTTTCTAAGGTCACTTCTCAAGCAGGATGTGGACCAAATTAAAGCCCTGCAAGCAAGAGGCTTTACCTCCCTCTTCCAGAGGATCTAAACAATTCTATGATTCTAAGAGCAAATAGGGAAATGGTAGCAAGGAGACACAGAGAAGCTAAAATTCAATCAAAATTCTTTTGATTAACTTTCCACAGTCTGCTTGGTACTGGGCCAGTGAACTAGTGACTTTGAACAGCACTCCAGGTATCAGCATCTTGGAGCGTTGGAACTCTATGACCCAAATTAAATAAGCAGCAGAGATAGAGTCGGACCCACCTTTTCCTGTCCCTGCTGGTGCTCTTCCCCTCACCTAATGCTGCAGAAGGAAATGGGAGGAGGCATAGCTGCCTCCCTCACCTTTGCTCATTCTTCTTGGTCTCAGCCCCAGGGCTGACTGTGTATGGCCGTTGCAGTGTTCAGCCCGGTGTGGCACTCAGGGGATGATGAAGCGGGAGGTGCGCTGCTCGGTGGAAGCGCCCCTCTGTGATGAGTCCCAGAAGCCCAGCAGCGAGAAGGCTTGCACAGGCCCACCCTGCAACCGTCACTGGACTGCGTCAGATTGGGGCCCGGTGAGTGCCGAGGGTCTGCTTCTGCTTGTACCTGATGCTGGGGATGCAGGACTGGCAGGAGGCAGCAGGCAGGCTGTCATGCTACTGCTCTCTTTTGGCTTTCTTCTGGAAGAGGCTAATCTAAAGAAACCAGAGTATTTTTGCCTCTTCATGCTGTAAATTTTGGTTAGCTGTGAGGTGAGTTACATTCCATTACCTGGGAAGCTCATGGCGCCAGGAAAATGAAAGCCCCTGACCAGATGTACCTCTAAAGACCCTTGGGATCCAGTGCCACAGTCCCAGTGGCAGGGCCAGGCTCTGGACTCAGGTCTCCTGGCACCACCAACCCTGACCACCTTCCTGCTTTCTGATGTGTCTAAATGCCCTTTATTCCTCCAAGTGCTCAGGTTCGTGTGGTGAGGGACGCATGAGCCGCTTCATCGCATGTCGCAACCTGGAGGGCAAGATCATCTCCGACTCGCAGTGTGACCCAGTCACGAAGCCCCTGGCTGTCCATCCGTGTGGAGACAAGAACTGCCCTGCACATTGGGTGGAGCAGGAGTGGGATCAGGTAAAGCCAAGCACAGCCCTGTGTCCTCAGCCCTCCTTTCCACCCTATATCCCATAGGAGACAGTAGGAGCCTGGCTGCCTTGGAATAAGGTTGTATGGTGTGACCTCTAACCTTGTGGCTGTACCCTTCTCCTAGTTCCTTTTAGAAAGGACGAAGGAGTAATGAATACCCCAGCTTGTCCCCTGCCTCCAATACCCTATAGTCTGCCACAGTGTGCCATTTGCTGTCTTCCTAGGTACCTCCATTGGAGGGCAGCAGTGACCTACAGAAACTACACTCTTCCACTTCTGGCTCATAGCTGGGTTACTGTAGACACCTCAGCAGAGCTCTTTGTCCAGAACCTGCACTCACCCATCTCAAGAGTTTGGTCCTACATGCTAAAGAGAAAGCCTTAACAAACACAGCTTCATCTCTGATAAATAATATTTGAAGATAAACCTGAACTATAGTCCACATCTCTGTCCTGGAAGTCATGTCCAGGCCATTGACTGTGTACTTGCCTCAGAACTTTTACTCAGTCTAGTAAAAATAGTCCAGGGGCCCTGTTCTAAAAATCAGTCAATTGGTCTCTGTCGATCTTCATTCTTCCCTTCTGTTGCTTAAGGCCTTGAGGCTTTAGGCTTCCTGATACAAGCTGATCCAAATCCCAGCTTACCTAGAAGAGCACATTGAGTCCATTTTGGGATTTGTCTTTAAAGTCCTGAGCAAAACACGGATTCACAGAGTACTAAGAAAAAAGATTTCTAGGGAACCAGAGAAGCAATCAAGTCTTGCCTCTGTTCTCATTTTGCTATCATTTATAGCTGTTGACTACATTCAGCTGAGTCTCCCTCCAGCACTGGTAATGATCACAAACTAGTTAAACCTGGGGATCCGTGGCAGTTCTGTAACCCTCTTCAGCTCTGGCCTGTAGTGTGGGTCACAGACAATACTTCAGTGCAGTTTTTCAGCTGTATCCAGGTTATTAAACTCTCTTGAATCCAAATTCCCTACCTTTGTATGTGCCAGGTTCTTTGCCTTTGCTGTGTTCTCCCTCTCAGCTGCTAAGCTCTGAGTTCACAGGATGACTAAGGGCAGATACAAGCTAGTTATGCTGGCCCTGCTGTGGTGAAGAAGGGACAAAGCAGTGAAATCTGAAACTGGCAATTGTCTCCATGGGCATCAGGAAGCAGAGCTAAGCTAGAATGAGCTGCTTCTCTTGGTGGTGTCCTGAGAGGGTGAGTCCTCCCAGCTAGGCACATGTAGCTTTGGGCTCAGTAGTACTTGTCCATGCAACTTACCTGCACTGTACCAGTTTAGTCCCCTGGGTCCCACACAAAGCTTGTCAGTACTCCAAAATACAGGTTGCTACATGAATAGGCTACATGTTTTTTGAGAACATAGATATACATAAAATAAGACAGAAACAGCATCTTGTAGTCTTACCTTGGCTACTCCAGATCCCTTCTAGCTGCTCTCAAGGCTAGCAGAGGTGAATTCGGCATCCTCAGCACTGGCTAAACACTAATTACCACTAATTAGGAAGTCCCCACTCCCTAAGAAACTCAGCTCTTTTGCAGACACCCATTGCTGCTGTGACCTAGGCAGTGCTAGCTCCATTAGACTACTATTAGCAGAGACATTATGCACCTTGCTTCTGAGCAGGATGCCATACTACTTGAAGCTCTACAGCTGACAAGCATCATTTGTTACCTGGCTTTTATGTTCTCTTTCCCAGTGTGATGCCAGCTGTGGGCGAGGGGTGAAGACCCGGGTTGTCTTGTGTGCAGGCCTGGAGAATGGAGCGTACAGGGAGTACCCTGAGAAGCACTGTGAAGCTTCTCAGAAACCTGAGGAACAAGCTACCTGTTTCAGGAGGCCTTGTGCAACGTGGTTCACTACCTCATGGTCTCAGGTAGGGTTCAGGGTGGTGGGGAAGGGGGAGAGGAGGCCTCATAATCCTGGTTGGTGGAGCGCAACCTGCATTGAGGTTTTCTAGCAGGCTGTTCTGCTGATGGCTCTGTCAGGTCTGGGTGGGACCATAAGCTCTGCTCTTCTGCAGACCAGGCAGCAGGTGAAGGGACTGGCACATGCAAGCTGGGGAAAACCTTCTAGCATGTGGATTATTGCCTCAAGCAAGAGCATGCACCATACTGCAGACATACAGGATACAGCCAGCATCCAGTGTTCTGGCTTTCCCTTGATTTAACTAGTGAGCCTTTATGGAATGGAGGACGGGAAACTGGGCCTGGCTTACAGCAGCCATATTTCTTCTACTGCAGTCCATTGACAGTCCAAGAAAAAAACATTGCAAGTTGCACTAAAGAGGTGAAAGCAAACACCTTCCTTGCTCTGTCCTGACCCCAGCTCTGGGAGGCTCTGCTCCAGCAACAAAAAAGGAGAATAAGTTTGCAATCAGTGTGAAATTTACCCAAACCTCCTCAAAACAGTATCCAAAGCAGGGACTGGGAGGCCTCACTGGAAGAACAAACTTGGAAACTAAAGAAAAATAAAAGGATGTCTCTCATGATTCCTTTATCCTCTTGATGCTGACAGTGTAGCAAGACATGTGGTGCTGGTGTGCGACTGCGTGAGGTAAAGTGTTACCAAGGGGAAGCACTGGCTCAGGGCTGTGACCCTACTTCCAAACCAGAAGCCAGGCAGACATGCCAGCTCCAGCCATGCCCCACAGAGGCACCAGGTAAGTGTGGGAGAGTAGGGAGGGAGTGGAGCCCTTGGGAGCCCTTTGCTCTGTCCAGCTGTTTTCTGGGGAAGCACATCTCCTTTTTAACTCCTTCTGTGGACACTTCTGTTCCCCAGAAGAGGACTGTGAAGATAAAGCGACAGCCAACTGTGTGCTGGTGCTGAAGGTAAAGCTGTGCTCCCACTGGTACTACAGGAAGGCTTGCTGCTGGTCATGTCGGCTCAGGTCACCCTGACTGCTGTCAGGTCATACTTCCCTTCCATGTTAAGGGGCAAGAGCTCTCTCGAGCCAGACTTTACCACTTGAAGCCACACCACTTGGCTTGGCTGTGGAGCCAGTCCCTGTAGACCAGCCTGCTCACTGAGGAAGAATTCCTAGGAGTTAGTCATCACTGTTCCCTCTCCACCAAGAGGATTTTACACAAGATAACCCATCAGTTCCTCAAAAGCTACTGAGAAGTGAGTTGTCAAAGCCTGTCCCTGCTGTCATCGTCTCTGAAGAGCTCTAGCTGGAGGCAGTGGGGCCAGAGGCCAGCCTGCAACAGGGCACAGACAACAGCAGCTATCTCTCCGGTCTGCCCTGCAGATTTCTATAGTAGAAGGACAATTTCCAAAATACAGTGAAAAATTCTGTGTCACAATAAAGAGCTAAACTATGAAACTGTGGTTTTGGGATGCGTGCACCTAGGCCAGAGGCAAGGGAGGAGAGGGGCCAGAAGGAACAAAAGCAGGAGCAGGAAGAGTGGGGAGGAAAAATTCTTTCATCAGTATAGCTTCCAGGCAACACCAGGTAACCCCATTTTGTGTTGCTTGCCAAAGAACAGAAACCGCTCCTGTTTGTATTTCAAAGTCCTCATTTATTTCTGACATTGAATTTGGACCCATAGCTGAGCAACAAAGACACAGAATAATACCAGGAGGAATCTGAAGTTGAAAAAATCTGGGATCCCTGCCTCTACCCCATCCTGTTCCTCCACCATCCTCCAAACCTTCGAACCCACAGCTACATTTCCTATGTTTCCAGCCCTTTCAGACTCACCCGTTTCCCTGTAGCAGTGCCAGACCCAGGGTGTTGTGTTGCCTGTGAGGCTAACCCTCTTGGCTATCCAGCTATTCTGGAACTGCCCTGCCAGCCTTGGCACCTCGTTAGCCAGTGACGGGTCACGCTTAATGTGCATGTGAGGATGATGCGGTTGTTTTCACCAGAAGCGTGACCCACAGAAGCAAAAGCCCCGGTGTTATTCCCACCCTCCGATGGTCGCAGCCCAGCACGTGCTGTCGTTGCGGTGGGAAGCCTTGCTGCGTGCCAAAAGGTAGAGTTGGATGTCAGGAGCCACTGTGCCTGTGAGCTGGCTCTGTGCCCTTTGAGGCAACGGCATTTCAGGGCTGTCTGGTGGAGCTTTGCAGGTGGCAGCCCGCAGATCACGCTGGGACATACTAACTTCTCGTGGCTTCCAGCAGGATGAGACCTAGTTGAACAGATGCTCTAGTGGAAAACGATGGCATTTACCGACTTAGTCAAGATATTTTTTCCAGTTACAGACTTTGTTTTCAGGGAGGAGTACTGGCTGGATGGGAAGCATGGACTGTTGCCCAGTGGGATCCAGACAGCTTTGTAGGTGATAACTTTGGTCTGCCTGCCTGCCTGCCCTTAATGTGAGAGGACATTTAAAACCTGGTATCACTATTTGGAGAATGGAAGGAGACTCTAAAAGCACTGCAGTTAGGCTGAGTCTCAGAATAATGGAAATACAATGACTTTCTGGGCTGGAGGTGGGGAAGATGATGCATAAAGTTTGCACAAAAGGCTGTGTAAAATGCAGGCTGGGGCAAGGTGTTCGGTTACTACGACTGTCACCACATTTGGCATTCGTCTTGTCTCCTTCCTTTGGGTAGTTGGTGCAGAGGTGCCAAGGCATGGGCAGGCCCAAAGTGTAAATTAGCCTTTTGCCTGATAACGTAGACATTCCAAGACTCATGTAGTGCACGCCTCTATGCTAAGACTTATACTTTTTCTGTGCATGAACAGGGAGGTTAAGTCCAAATCCTTCTGTGAGCAGCAGGATGATTTCTAAATTGCTGTGGTGAAAAAAAACAACCCACCACTCAAATTTCTGAGCAGTGGTACCCTATATTGCAAAGGCATGGCAAGCATTTCCTATCACTGCCTCCAGCAGCATCTGCAGGGCTGTGGGAATTGTTGCTGTCCTGGTCCTTCCGCATTGACTGTGAATTGCTCAGCTGAGCAGTTCTGCACCAGTTGCTACGGAAGTGCCTGTGAATGATGGAGATGTCCTTTTAGTAATTTTTCACCTAATCTGATTTATGGAGGAAGAAGGAACTTTCCCACATTCATTTTTTGCAGAAAGGCAGAGTCACTGGCTGTCATTACCAGCCACAGAGCCGGTGAACCCGAGTTTGGGTCTTGCACCCTCTTCTTCCAAAAGCAGAAGAGGGGATCCTGACCAATGGAACATCACGTCTTTCCCATTGCAGGTTGTGGGCCCCTCAGAGGAGGAGATGTGACCTGGTGGTCTCTGTTGTTGATGTTGAAAGCAAAAGCCATCCTAAAGCCAACCTTCCTGTGGCTGTCCGGAGCTGTCAGGGTGGCCTGGCTAGGTCTTTGAAAGCTGAAGATGACCAAAACTGCAGTTATTTAGGGATGCAATTCTTCCCATAAGTGAAATCTTGCTGTTTTTATGGGTCCAAGTTAAAATCACTCCTAAAAAAGCTTGTGAAGAGTGAAAGAGGGTGGGACTTTGGCTGCAGAAAGATCATCCTGTGACCACTTGTGTGGGTGAATGGTTTTGTGAGCAACTTTGCTTCCCTCGGCAGTGATATAAACTCTGTCTTGAACTTCTTCAGAATGTGCAAAGACCGGAGCGGGTGGTAGAAGGTGTCCTATCTTACATTGAAAGCTAACTGCTAGCGGCAACTAACTCAGTACAAGGGGAGCAGAATGATCTGGATCTTCCCTTCTTTGCTTTCCCATCGGCCAGGAGTGCTGCTGTTCCCAGCTCAGCAGTAGGATTTGCCACGGGCAGCAGCTGGTGGGGGGTCACGTATCACTCTGTGTGCTAGAGGTGGTGGGCATCGCCTCGGGTGGCTGTGTGGGGACACCCAATGCCTCACTCTAGGCCTGGGGAGTTGGGGAGCCTGGGGTAATTAAATTAGGTTGTACTGTACATAGCCCTCATTAGACAAGTCCCCTCAGGAGATAGAGTAGAATAATAATGACACTTATGATGGATTCGGAGGTGACCGGTTCAATGTTGTCATTTGAGGTCTCTCTTGTCTTCTTGCCCAAAAAGCTCAGCTGCGCTGGGCGGTTCAGCAGGAGGACCATGCTGGTCTCGGGCTGGACTTATGGGGTCTTTTCTGCAGAAACCCCCCTCCAAAGACAAGTGAAAAGCCCCTTCCCTCGAGCAGGTGCCGTCTGGGAACACCCTGTGCTAGTGGCAATGGTGACTACACCTCCGTGCTGATAGCCCGTGGGTTCGGGAAGCTCTCGCGGAGGAGGCTGTGGCGGCTCACCAGGTAGCTCTGCAGGGTGCCCATGTTAATGGGCGGCCCCATCTCCTTGTAGCATGCAGGGGTGTAGGTGACCCTCTCGCCCCCGTTGCGCACCATGTCGGCAGTCCGGATGTAAAAGGGGGAGCCGTAGGGGGAGCAGGTCGGGCAGTAGTTGTGAGCCCCGTGCTGGTTGAGCTCGCTGGCGGGGGGCGCAGGGCTTCCCTGGCCGTCCACCATGTGGGAGCTGCAGGCATTGCACATGCCGAGGTGCGAGTGTGTGGGAAGGTCTGGCTCTTCCTCTTCGTCCTCCTCCTCCTCCTCTTCCTCATCAGAGTCATCTTTCTTGCAGCAATAGTACTGCATGAAAGGGAAAGGGTTGTATTAGGGGAAGCAGAGCAGCTGAATTCGTCTTAACAGCCTGCCCTGCCACATCCCCACCCCCTCATCCCCCTGGCAGAGAAACCCTCTGCTGGCCTCTTGCTGATCTGCTCCAACGGTACCTCGTCCAGCAAAGCAGAAGCTGGACAAACCCAGACCTGAGCATTCTGCAGCAGGCAGCTGCTGGGAACTCATCCTCTCCCCTCCCAGTGAGGTTTGCAAGAGGAAGGTATTTTACCATGCCAGTTGAAAACTCCTCCAAATAACTGCTGTGCTTTTCATCACACTGCTGCATGGCACAGACTTTACATTAACTTTTAAAGAGCAGGAGGTTGTAGCTAGCTGTTGTAGAAAGCCTCCTCATTTCATTTACAGTGGGGAAAAAAAAAAACAACACAAAAAATCTCAGTCTGGTATTGCAAGCACAGCCAAGCCTACACCTAAATTAGCAAGCACTGCAGAGCCTCAAAAGCCTTAGGGGAGTCTCCCAACACTGGGATGAGGAATGGACATAATTCTGCAGTACCTGGGGGAAATGGTATTTCAACTTCCTGTCCATTGCAAGCAATAAATGCCCTCTGAGACCTCTCCTGCAGCATCATTTCAGTCTCAGGAGCACTGCCACTGCTGGGGTTTGTGGCAAGATGGGGCCAACCGCAGCACTCACCTGTAGCCTACAGTAGCAGAGCACGGCAATGATGCACAGTAGGATCACTGTCGCTAGGATTCCCCCGGTGATAACAACAGTTCCTGCTGTCATCCGACCGATTCTCCATCAAACTCTGCAAGGCAGGGCCACAGGGACATGCGTCACCCCAGAAGATGAAAGTCATCTACCATGGCTTCATCATCATATCACAGACATGACACTCATGAGGCATCCCAAAATATCACATTCTTGTTCCTCCCGCCCCAACCAAAAAACTGTCAATCACCTAACATCATTCTCCTCTTAGCAAGAAGACACCTGAGATGCAGCCTCATGGCCCCTCACTGTTATCACTGCCTCTGGCTTGGGGTCTTTGGGAAACACCCGCGGTCCACCCACAGAGCCTCCTCCCTTGCTGAGCTGAAAGGACTGATTTCCACCCTGTCGGCAGAGAATACAGCTTCTGCTTTAAAACACAGAGGCAAACCTGGGTTTCCACCAGGAAAAGCCAGAGGGGAGGCTTTGAACTCTACAACTGTGGCAATCTGAGCTGAAAAAACACACCCCGGCTGCCTGCCAGGCACCAATGGGTCTAACATGGGCTTGGCATGAGCCAAGCAGCTCCCACCACCATCCCTGTGCCATGGCACCTGGAGGCTACTTATGTTCAGGAACGGAGACGTTAGACCTGTAAGAAATGGAGGGAGAGGTTAGCAGTGGCCTGACAGTGCCCCTTCACCTGCCCGTGTTTTCCTGCCTCCTGAGAATTTGTCTTGATTTGGGACCCGGGGGAAGGAAGCACTGCTTCACGCTGTGTCCCATGGGGATGGGGCTCAGCATGTGCCCCTGGGATCCTGCACGGTGCAAAAATATTTTTGGGTCCTGCAGATGATAATGATGGTAAATATTACGGTTTCTTTAATTTGGAGCAGGGAAAGGAGGCATTTCCCAACCTCAGAGAAATACTGCACAGGACAAGGCTGTGCCATCAGCAGCTCCTGAATCACGCAGCTTTACAGGGCAAAGGCCTGGCTTAGTCAGCACTTTGCCTTTTCCTCTTTAAAATTAATTATGGGGAGGCAGATGCATCACCGTGCAAGCAGCTGATGTTTTAGGTGCCGCTGGGAAACGGGCTCTCCCCAGCACCCCCTTGCCACCCCGCAGGCACCTGGGAAATGACAGGCAGGGCGTTACGGATACACTGGCCCCAGGACAGCCGGCTGGGACAGGCAGCGGTGCATGGCCACAGGGAGACGCTGGCAGACCTGGGAGAGAGGACAAGGAGAAAAACCCACCGTCAGCTCAAGGAGGATGCCCAATGTCCCCATCTCCACTGGTGCCACCTCTGTTCCTGCAGCGGAGCTGAATAAGTTGCTGGTTTTAGGGAGACCAGCAGGAAAGGTGGTGCTGCAAAGGTGGGTAAACCCAAACCGCCGTGAAAGGACAACCCCACACCCAAACCCTGCAATTTCAGTGAAAGTGAGAGACCTGCACCCCAGAAGTGGGTGCACCCATCGCCCCTGCCACCCCCACCCTTGGGTGATGCCTGGCATAACCACATTTCATTACTGGCTCTGCGTCCCTCTGTGCATCATCCAGAGCAAGGCTAATTGATAGGGCCCAAGTTCCAGCCGGTTGCAGCCGAAGAGATCTAATTACCCACTTACCACGCAGCCCTAATTGAGAGAGAGGTGGCAGCTTCCAAACAAGACCTGCCCAACTCTGCCCCGGCCCCTTGCTCTTGCATGTGCTGTTGGGCACCATGGGGACACACCATCCTCCCCAAATCACCCCCCTCCTCACCCTGCTGCAGTGATTTGCAGGATCCTGCCTGCCACAAATTGATTTTCAGCTCTTGGAAAGTTCCTGTGCAAAGCCAGAAGGCGGGCACGCATTGGATTTCCTCCTCAAGCTGCTCTCACACACAAAACAAAGGGGGGAAAAAAAAGCCTTGAGAAATCAATAGGTCCATACCCAGCAGAGCTAATAATAGAGACCAACACACTCAGCTCCTACACCCTGTTACCAAAAAGCACCCTGAAACACTGCCAAGAGCGAGGGGCACCGGAGACGCAGGGGACACACACCAGGGAGCCTTCAATGGAGTTATCACCTCCCCAGGTGCCATCCTTAACAGGGAAAAGTTGATGGTGGGCAGCTGGAAAAGGCAGACATTGACCTTCAATGACCCCCAAGAGGGACCCGCTGTGAGCTGGGCAGTGACGGATGATGCAAGCAGCTGTTCGCATCCAGAAAACTTCATTTCATGGGAGCTGTGATTTGATTTAGAGCTCAGAGAGCAGCATCCAATTAGGCCAAGGTTTGGAGTGAGCAGGCAGCCTTGGAGAACAACCCTGGGCAGGGAGGGACTCTGGTCACCTCTGAGAGCCACATGTCTGATCAGCACTGCCTCGAGGAGGGCCAGGGTTCCACGTGCCCCACATCTGGCATTTCCATTTCTGGGGCTGCCTTGGTCAGTGTTTCACTGGCCCTGCTCAGCAGCAAGGCTCTTCCTTATTAAAATAGGGACTGTTAAAAAGAAAAATAAGCAGAAATTAAAACAAACAAGAAGAGAAGCATTGCCTTTCCTCATCTCTCTGGAGGTGATGCTTTCAGAGAGGAGAAAGTTTCTACTCTCCTCCCCCCTCAAAATCCTGCTCACCAGCAGCCTAGCAGTTAATTTCTATTCTGTGCCTATAAAACTGAAAGGGGACGCAGAAGCGCAATTCCCTTGGGCACGGTCCCATTTCTCCTCTGGCTTATAAAGGGAATTGGAAGTTGTTTATATATCTAAATTCCCCACCCTGAGCAGAAGTCTTGGCTCTCTCTGCTCACTTGAGCTTCCTGGGCAGCTCAGGAGAGGGGACTATGACCAAAGGGCAAACATGGAGACCTTATGGTGTACAAACCACTGCTGAATAAAATCAGGATTTAGATAAGCCAGGCTGTGCTACTTTCTCTTCCCCTCACTGGCTTTTGGGAAGCAATTTGAGATGCTATGCAGTGGTGTCATGCTGCCCTGATACGGACAGGAGCAGGCACAGGGAGGGAACCCTGCCATATTGTACAACCCTGGGCCAGCGTGCAGAACTGCTTGCTGCAGAGATACATTTTCTTTAATTGATGTTGCCTCACACTGCAAAGTTACGGCCTGAAAAGTGACTCTGGGAACAAGTGGCATCTCAGGCTTCTATATTTATTCCCCTTCAATGACGTCCACAGGAGATTTGCAGAGTTTGCAAGTCAATGGTGAGGTTTTTGCCAGCTGCCAGCACTCTCAGCCCAGCTGAGAATCTCCCGTCCCTTCTCACCCTGTGTGTCCCAGCTCACCCCTGCCATCCATCAAGGGTCAAGCACTACCACAAGAGCTGGGGAGCAGGTCCTGGGCTGGGGCAGAGCACAGCTACCTGCCATGAACACCATGCTGAACCTTGCTGGTGAGTCCTGCCCCAGCCCGGGCTCTGCTCTCCTGGTTTTGCTCTGCAGCTCACGGGCTAATTCAATGAAATGTCTGCCTGGTGAATTAGCCCAGCCGCTGCCTTACCAGAATCATCTCCCTGGGCCTAATTGGAAGAAACAGCATCAGGGGCTGCCTTTTCAAAACAGATTATGGCAGCAAACAACAGGGCACGGGCTCAGCGCGGTGGGATTTGGGTGGGTTAACCCGTGGCTGCAAAACTTGGTGAGGTGGGACAACATGGGGCAGGACGGGAGCACAGGGTGGGCCAAGGCCCTGCAAACTCATCCCATGTCAGATGCTTTGTGCTGCAAGGTGTAATGGGACAAGCCGAGTCCTGGGAAGCAGAATTAATGAGATCCCTCTCCCAAACTGAGCCAAGCCCAAGTGAATTTTCACCCAAAGAGCAATGGCAACATGGGATGCAAGAGGATGTGGGGGGGCTGCACTCAGACAACAGCCCCCCAGCGTCTCCCCTCCAGCCCCAGCACTCACTGCTGGTGCTTCTTGCCCAGGTCCCAAACCACTGGGTCACTTGGAAGCCTTTAAACTTTAAATTACAAGGCACCAAGGAACTGCTGTCCACCCCAGGCCCTGAGAACACTGATTTTGGGAAGCACTACAAACTGCTGCTTTGACTTACCCTTGCACATAAGCTTGCTTAAGCCCCATTACTTTCAGGGGGAAAGGGGAAGATGGGGCCAGCTCGTTCTGACTTTTGATGTGCTGTTAATAAATATATTGAGGAAAAGGCATCTTTCAGGCATGAAAATCAACAGTGACACTGGGTGACTGGAGCAGCCCTGCTCCCCCCTGCAGCAATAACATCTCCTGAGCCAGCACTGAGCTTTGTGGAGGTTTCTGCCCAAGCTATAATTGAAGTTGGACCAGTCTGCAGCAGAAATCACAGCAGCACTTGGGAAAACAGACATCCACTTGCTGCAGAGAACACCAAGAAAGGCTTTTCCTGGCAGAAAGGGTGTTTTGTGTGACCTGTTTCCTACCCGAGACGATTTTGTGCTGTGGGCCCTTTGGTGCCTCAAGCCCATCAGTTTTGCAGGGGAAACCACAGCAAACACCCTGTCCCAGGTGTCACAAGGACAGCCAGCTTGCGGAGGTAACACTGTCCTGCCACCGGTGCTGGGGTGATTTGCACTCAGTCATCAAAACGAAACAACCCATGCCCTGCCACATGCCTGCCCTTGCTTTCCCTTCACCAGCTCCCTGGGGCTTCCCACCACGTCCTCCCAGCCCTGCCTCTCTCCAGGTAAGGGATGGGACAGAAGTAATGCCAATGGGGTTTTGAAACCAGACATTTTCTTGCAAAAAAATTGTGGAAAAGGCAAGACACTAACTGAAGTTAACACAAATCAAACCATTTCCAGGGTGGAAGCTGCCAGCCAGACCCCAGATCCTGGGTGGGCACTAAAGGTTCCATTTCTGCTGCTAATGCTGTGCTCCCAATCCACCAAGCCCAGCAGATCCCTTCTCCTGGCTGTCAAACTCTGCCAAACCCACCTTCTTGCCAGCCCAGGTTCACTCCCCCCAACACTGGGCCTTATCCTGCCTTCCACGAGCACAGGAGACCTTCCCCACCAGTGGCAATTGCCTTTACAGCCACATAGGACCAAGTATCCCCCTCCCATCTCTGACTGTAGCATTGCCTGGTGTGCGAAGTCCCAGCATGTTTTGCAACCAGCCAGCACATCCACATCCCTGTCCCAGGAAGACTTCCCAGCACTTCACAGACTTTTGGTGGAAGGACAGCTTTGTAGCCTAGGATGTCTCAGGCACAGACTACACGAGTATCCCATTACTCTGGCATCTCTCCTGCCCTTTATACCCTTAAGTGACTAGTCAGATCCTGTCTCACCTGCCTGCATGGATTAACTGGACACATGCGTAGAGATGGTAGGACACAGAAGGAACCATCACCCCCTTCTGTCCCCACCAAGTACACACACCAGTGTGATACTGCAAAGCATGGCCAGGGCTACACCTGGATCTAGGCAATTACCTATATAATTACGCCCTTTTGCAGTCCCTCCTAATTGCAGGATGGCTTAAAACCCAGAGCAGGAAAATGACACCTCCCTCCTCATCCCCACCATCTCCTACCTGCTGCATTTTCTTGGCCAGCTCCAGCCCAGTGCAGCCTGGGAGCCAAGGTGGCTGGTGCAGCTCTGGGCACAGAGAAGGAGTCAGACATGGGCAGCCCATGGTGGGATGCAGGATAGAAATGGCCCTTGCCTGACTCACATGGCTCATCTGCTGCTGTGCCTGAGGTCCTGCTTGGGGCTGCTCCCAGCAAAAGCCATGGCCAAGCCCAGGCACATGTGCCAGGGAGCCACTCCACTGTGGTCCCAAAATAACCAGGGACAAAACTGGTGGCATCAAGCGAAGTCACACAAAGAAGGGCTTTTGAGATTATCCCACACATCAGATCCCCACAGGCTCCATGAAGCAAGCCAGCCCCCGGCCAGCCAACCCCTGCTGTGTGCACCATCCCTCCCAATACACAAATATCCCCTGTGAGGAGCAGCGGTGGCAGCATCAACCACACGGAAAGCAGAGCGATGCTGTGGAGAGCCAGAGTGCTGGGTGTGCCCCAGGTGAGACTGACCTTTGCCAAAAAGAGCATTTTGCAGCACGAGTACTAAAGGCTCAGGACCATGCCTATGGCCACAGGCAGCAGAGAGCTGAAGCCCAAGCTGAATCCTGATGTACCATGGATACCATGTGAACACGGCCCTGGAGTGCAAGGACTTGGGTCTGATTTACTCCCCATGCTGCCACTAGATCCCCTGCCACAGCATGGCCTGAGTTTTCACTGTGTACAGCACAAGCAATGGATCCTCGTGAGCATGGAAAGGAGCAGGAAGGGTTATTTCCTTCACCCTGATGTCACCCTTGCTGCTTGCCCAAGCTTTTTGCACTGGTGTAGGTATCCCATGACGGATTCAACCCTGTGGTAAAGCACTAACACAGCATTAGTATTTCCCCTGCGTCAGCCAGCGTTCCCAGAACTTGCCCAGGAAAAGGTGAGAAGGCACCAGCAAAGCAAAATGGGGCAGCAGGGACCTCTTTAAAAGCTCTCAGCCTCCAGCTATTCCACACTCAGGTCTCAGGGCGGAGCAGATCCTGCTGGTCCCACAGCCTGGAGACCCTCCCTGGCAGTGCGGAGGAGCCAGCCTCCCTCCGAGGATGCTCTGCCGTTCACTCCCAGCCCTGGGGCAGTATTCCTCCAGCATCCTCGCTGCCCCAAGAGGGAACCTTCACCTCCTCAGCACCCATTTATTTTCACACCAGCAGACTCTTCCCATCAGGGCAAGGAGATGAAGGCCTTGGCCAGACCCCTCCGCTCCCCAGGGACTGCAAACACAGCCTGTGGAGACAGGATCTTCTCCTCAGTTTGATTTTCTCACTGTTCAACCACAGGAAGGCACACTCTCTGCTCTCCAGTGTGGCTAATCCCACCAGGGGACTCAGCGACC